TGTCGGGTGATCCGAAGATGACGCCCGCGGCATCCTTGACAACCACCATTGCCTGCTCAGCTGCTTCTCGGACGTGGACCTCATCGGACGACAAACACTCGACTAAAGCTTCGGCGAGAATCCTGGAGTCGAGGTACACAGGACCTTCCCCGTTTGCAACGTCAAAGGCTTTACGACCGTGTCGAACTTGAGCCAGGGCACGGCCGACCTCTACAAGAGCAAAGTGCTTACAAACATCCGCCACAAAGGCTGTGGCTGTTTGCTCGAGCTCGGGGATAGTGGTGGCAAATATACAAGCCTTGATCAGCTTCTTCACTGTTGCTTCCTGCGCAATCTTCTTCGGAATAGAGGCCGACCTTTCAGACTTGTCAAGGATATCTGCCATAGCGCCCGGTTTATTCTCGAAGAGATCATTAGCATGGAGTCTGATCAAGATTGCCAAGTCTTCAGGGATGTTGTCATAACCGATTTGAAGCTTGAGGTGAGAGCTGAGCATCCGATAGGCTTGCTGTTTGTAATATATGTCCGAAGCTTTCGCAGAATCCGTCTTGGGGACCTCCATGAGTTTCCCCGCAGCGAGATCAATGCCAATATCTATAGGGAAAGGACGTTTCTCGTTCGGGCCGATCAACCTGATATCGAAGCTTGGATTGTCATCGGAAAATTGCTGGAACGACAATTCTGGCGGATGGTTGAGGAACTTCCGATTTCGTCCGCCAAGTTTTCCTAGGATACGCATAGTGGTGTGTGCGTGGAAGTGGTTGTAAGGAGATGGGCGCAAGTGATCCCAGAGTGCAGTCATCAGCTCGTCCATTATTGGGCCCATGATTGGATCGAGGTAGTCGGCTGTAAGGTTGTCTACGCAGAGTTCGAGAGTCCGCAAACCCTGACCGACAAGATCAGAGTCAGCACGCAAGGCGACCACGATTGGGCGCATTAAATAGCTGAGATGAGGCAGAAGATGGCTGAGTCTGGCAGGAACGGTGAGGGTGAGTTCCACGTAGAGATCCCGTTCTTGCGGCTTGCGAGCTGCGAGTAATAAGTTATTGAACGTTTCGAGGAGCATCTCTAGAAGCGGAAGGATCTCTTTGTACAGGAGCTCAAATCGTCCACCGCCAATGCTTCGGAAGAGAGACCTCAGAAGAAGGAAGTAGTTCATAGGCTCCTCGGCTGTGACTGAAAGTTCAATGCACTTGGTTACAATCTTTGTCACATGCGGGTGAAGGACCTGTTCATTTTGCACAGAGAACAGGGTTACGGCCATGAAGGAAAGTTTAAACATCCTCAGAAGTATCTTTGCCTTCGTCATGTCTGAGGTCCCGACCTCGTCAATGCGTTCCATAAGATACTGTAACACCATACCAGAGAACGCAGGAGAAGTGGCCTCGCTAGCCAGGAAGAACTGGGGTAGGTGAAGGAGGGCACCATGTTCAAACATGAGTTCATGTAGGTATGGGATTTCCGAATGGAAGACTTCGTGGAAGGTTGCGGTATCAATGCAGTGGAAAACAGTACCGAAACTTTCTAGAAGCTCCTTTTCTTCGCGTGTCATTGGGGCAGTGTACTGGCTTGCAAGGAAGTCAAATGGAGATGCGTAGTTCATCTCAGGGACAGGCTGGTCCACCCCATAATAGCGGAACACACGAGCTCCCTCATGGAATAGCTTCTTAATCACACTAACTTCCTCTGCATTGTAACCGTACGAAACTTCTGACCAGTTGATAGGAACACTGTTGGGATCGATTTGAATATCATCTGGGTTGCAGTTCTTCAATTGCCGGAAGATATTCTTTAACCCATTGATCAAATTTCGGAAAAGGAAGAGGTTGTCCGAAACTGGATCACCTCCACGATCACGCGGACTAGATGTCTTGATAGGAGAAGCCGAGAAAATGTCAATTTCATCCCAGTCCGGTGGCTGGTCCTTCTCAGCAAGGTAGTTTTCGGCGCATGGCTCAGTATCCTGTCGGAAAGCTTTGTACGCTCTGGAAACCTTGACAGCGTTCTTGAACTGGTGGTTCATCGATGCGAACTTGTCACCAATAGCATCTAGAATCATGATTAAGAAATACCGCGCCTCACGCTTGTCTTCTAGTTTGGAGATATTCTCTGCCATGTTCAAAAGAAGCTTTGCACTCATTGTCTGGAAGCTGGTGCCAGGGAAGTCGTCGTGTAGGTTTTTCGTATAGACTTCGACCGTTCGCCGTATCTGGTCTCGACTCAGATGGTCACGAACATGGTGTATTAAATCAGCCAACATGCTGTAAGCCAATGGTCTCATGGTCTCATAAACAGTGAGGCCATCTCCGATGAGAGTCCGTTCATCTAAAAGCTCATCAATCTTCTCAAGGAAGATCTTGCGGTAGTTGAAATTGATGATGTGACGAATGGCTACCAGCAACTCCTTCCTTGCTCCTGACTTCTCTCGTGGACAATCTTGAAGGAGACGCACGACGACGGAAGGAAGCGTGGGAAGAAAGTCCTGTAGCTGATGGGCATAGAGACGCAACAGATACGCCAAGAAGCTCATCGTCTTCACCTGAGCTGTGATGAACTCTCCAAATGCAGCACGGTTCTTGATTTCTTTGCACACACCCGTAAATATTGTGCCTTGGGCTGCTGCTTCTGCATGTGCCTTTTCCTGCGGCTTCGCCTGAAGCAGCAAAATCGTTTTGATGAGCGGAACGAATAGCTTGACGTTGCTCGGAACCGATGTGCGATGTGTCTGGAAGATGGAAACGACAATAATCGGGCATTCTGCGAGGACCTTGAACGATTGCATGCCTTTGAGGAGAACATTGCTCGACTGCTGATCAGGCGCTAGATCTGACACTGAGGCGGCAGGCGAGCTCGGTCGAGGAGACTGGAAGTTCTGTGCTGTTGCGTTGGGTGTAGATGGCATTCCCGAGGGCGTGGCCTGGTTGGGAGTGTCGAAGGTATCCCGAACCACTTGCTCCATGGTCTGAAACATTTCCTGGATAAGGTCCAAGAAAGCTTGCACCCGGTGAGCCGTAGCCTTGGCTTGGTTCCTCTCCAAATCCATGATGGTCTTCATGCATAACACCGCATTGTCTTCGTTCTCGATCCGCGCAAGTTCCATCAACATATCGACCATATCAACGGCGTACGGCTCCACGTCAGGGGAGCCCATCGGTAATCGGTGTAGTGTCTCGAGGATGCAGTTTCGCAATTTCTAATGGATCACCAGATTGGTCAGCTCATTATGCGCAACTTTTATCGAGGGCAAGCTTGTGCCAAAGAATCTCACCTGGTCGTAAGACATGCTGAAGAAGACTGGATCTCCCTTCAGAATATTTTTAAATACCGGCCATAGTTTTGTTAAGAATATGGGGTAGCTTGCGCCCGAGCATAAGGGCTCAATGCTGTCTCGTAATTCGGTAGCGACATTGGCTCGGACTTTGACGTCTATTGAGATAACAAGGTAGTTAGCACAGAAATCGGACAGCAATTCTCGTTACGGCGGACTTCATCAACATACCCAGCTTCTCGTCGCCGAGCTTGCTGGCGTAGATATCGATGTTTCGTTCCATCGCTATGATCTGACCCTTCTCAAGGGCTGGCGACTAAATGAAAAGGAACAGAAATGATGGCCGGGCCGAGAGGCCGGCTGAGGAGAGCGGAGTGTGCGCAGTCTTCCCGGGGGGGGAATTGGGCTCTCATGTGTTGTGTTGTGGTGTCGCGGAAGCTGTGTAGACTCGGTCGATATGCGAAAAGATCGGAGACGGTAGAACTTAAACGAAGGAACTCATCAAGTCATTGGTTCTTCCAAGAAAACAAACTACCTAGTCCATTTGAAAAATATCAAGTCTGGACAGCAAATGAGTGAATCGAATTACCCCGCGGGGGAGGAGAAGCTGAGGGAGATGAGGAGAAAGTTGGGGATTGTATGCGGCGCGATATTCACGAGAGCAGAACAGAGGACGCGGGCTATCGCAGAGACCCCGAAAGAAACACTAGTCCGCATTTGGTAATTCCATCGGCATGAGTTGTTCCGTTCCGAGGCCTCCAAGGTACAGCCCTGAAGAACTAGTACAAAGTACGGCTTCAACTTTTCGACTTGAAATTTTTTTCATATTTTTCTATCCTTAAGTATTGACCTATTCCTTATCTATAATCGCTATTATAAGAACGCATGAAATATACATAGGCATCGCTCCACGGGTAACACATACTTTGGGTCAGTAAGCACAGGCTGCATCCCTGGAGCGCTGAAGATATAATACTGCGCATATAACCTCCAGGGCTGTATATTGTGTCTTTATATAGTTTAGAGACCCAAGAGCAACCCGATTTGTCTATAAACCGTAGGCTTTATATCATGTATCATGACGGACTTATACAACAGAGGATCGAGATCCCTAGTCAACTGGTGACATACATGTATGTAGTCATGCAACTTAGAGTGAATCACCCGTAAACCTCCTGGTGCATAATAAGCTGATTATTCACTCTTGGACTAGCCCTGCTCACGGATAACACAGAGTTTAACTCTCGATTTCAAGAATCAAGAAGCGTGGCCTAAATACCGTGTACTCAAGATATATACCTATACGGGGGGTTCTCAGTACATCCCAACAACCCATGTGATTGAGTAATCTTTACCATATTTCCTCCATGAAATCTCTTTGATGTAGAATCAAGAAATTGTTACAATTATGTACTCAGTGAAGTATACAAAAAGGTCACCGAAAGACCACATCAAACCTCCGCAGGAGGACGGTCGGTAATTACGACTTTTTCTCATATGGTAACATTAATATCTCTAATCAATCTAGATCCTTCGAGCCATGTCTTACATACTATGAAATTTGGGATTGCTATCTAGGTAAACTAACCTTTTGTCAGGTAAACGGCCCCCGGGGCCTGATATCCTGCTCTCGTAATACACATACCCAACTCTGATCAGCCCCGCATTCAGGCGGCCGTGTGATTATTGTCCCACCTTAGGCGAGACTCTGATTTCAAGAAATCTGTTCAATATGGCGGACCCCCTTTCGATTATTTCAGCCGTAGAGCTCTGTTTCAAGTAAGTTACAGGTCATAACCGGACTGTTCAAACTGACCATATGTCAGATATGGCACATATTTGGTTCAATTATGCACTGATGTTGCAAACGCAAAAGGCGATATCGCGGAGAGATTCCTTCGTGTGAAAACCTACTGGATGAGGGTGGAGCTCCAGCTGAATGTGGTAGAAAGTGTTGCTCCCGAGCTCAGTGAGAAGCATCGGAGGATTCAACATGAGACGATTGCAATGCTCACTACCAAGTTGCAGATTGCTATCAATAATCTTGAGTCAGTGATCAAGAGTCATCCTGTCGGGGACCAAGAGTTGGATGTACGTCGGTGGAAGTATGCGCTTGTAAAGGAAAAGATCGACAGGACCATTGAGGATCTCCAAGAATGGCAGTCACTATTCGATCCATCGTGGTATTTGATTATGAAGCTTGCAGACCATAAAGTCGATTCTGGCCTAAGCACATACCGAAAATCTTCCGCTTCTGCTATAGATTTTCAAGACCCGATACGCCCTGCGCAGTCCCTAAGAAGAGCCCTGAATCCGACAGACACAAACGCTCCATCGGTTCGCCTCTCAACGGATTTTCTCATTTCCATTAACCCACAAAAAATCCCATTTTGCTCAGCGCAGGTGGGCCAGAGACCAGAGAATGGTCAATCGCTTATTGTGGAACGAATTGAACCTTTCCCAGGAGCCAATGTTGGGGACATCAGCAAAGATATACGAGATCTCGCCAGGCGATTGACTGGGTCTGATGCCATGGAATTCGGTCTTCTTAGCTGCAAAGGATATATCCCTCACCTCAAGCCCGGCTCTTCGAGATCTGCAGTAGATGCATTTACGATTATCTTCCGAATGCCAACACAGCATGTTCAACCTCGTTCTCTCCGAGGTTGTTTACAGGATATGAACCATACCCATTCACTATCTGATCGGTTCAAGTTAGCGAATGAGCTTGCAAAAGCAGTGCATTCTGTTCACTTGTTTGGATTTGTTCACAAAAACATACGACCAGAGACAATCCTACTTTTGGGAAGTGATGAATCTTCAATTGGATCTGCCTTTCTGATTGGATTTGAAAGCTTCCGCATGGCATCTGGTAAAACTTTGCGCAAAGGCGAAGCATCCTGGGAACGATGCCTTTACCAACACCCTGACCGCATAGGAACGGTTTCGTCTAAAGATTACATTATGCAGCATGATATCTATAGTCTTGGAGTATGCTTATTGGAGCTGGGCTTGTGGGAGTCTTTCGTGTCATGCGATGAGTTGACTCCGGAGGGCAATGACAATGATCCGACCCCCACTCGGGCCTCGATTCTGGGACTGGACCGAGGGTTATATTTCAAACAGCATCTTCTCTCCTTGGCGCAGGGTGAACTGCGGAAGCGAATGGGGACCAGATATTCTGACGTTGTTGTCACTTGTTTGACATGTTTGGACGCTGGAAATGTCGACTTCGGAGAGGAGGCTGATTTTGAAGATGCTGATGGCATTCAAGTAGGTGTGAGGTATATTGAGAAGGTAGGTTTCTTCCACCCAAATCTCATGGAAGATCGATCTCTAACATATCATCGGCACAGGTAACGATGCGACTAAATAGTATGTGCGTCTGAATCAAGAGTTCGAATTCGATAGAACATGCTGGTAGAAACGGGAACAGAATACATGTGTTCCCGACATACAACTGAAACACGAACATGTGCAAGCCTGCATAATTCTGTTCACAAGCTCTTGCATAATCTCACTAGTCATTGAGCAAATATCCTCTCGTATCAGCTCTCCATACACCAATGCTATCTTTGCCGAAGTTGGATGATACGAATAATGTTCCGTCGAGGGAAAATGCCAAATGTGGATGTGAACCAATTTTATATCCTTGATCAAAGTCGCGAGATCTGTGAAGCTCTTCGAGTTTGAAAGTCCCGTTTCCGGATTGAACCACACTCCAGAGGACAATTGTCCAGATCCAGTTGTCCGAGAGTTCTTTGCCGTTGTGTTCTATACAGGCTGCGAGGAAATTTCCGTTGGGAGAAAAAGCCAAAGGGCCGACTATATGATCATCTAGTTGCACTTTGACCCAATGATCTGGACATTCCACCACCCAAGAACCAGTGATGCGACGATATGACTTCGTGCCCACCTTAGGAGGGTCAACTTTCGAGGTCTCCTTCGTTAAATCCAAAACATAAATAACGGCCCCATAGGAGTATGCGAGATATCTTCCGCCCGGGGAAAAGGTCGGCCCTGTCGATCTGAAAGTTGTCGATTTTGAAGAAACGAAAAAGTCCCCAGTATCTAAATCTTGGATCCACACTCGATTATCAACAGAGACATACCGAAGCAGTCGTAGGCCATCGGGAGAGAATGTTAGGGGCACTCCATTGGATTTCGGATGTTCGAACATGAAGAGCTTTTCACTCGACTCAACGTCCCAAACCTCGACTCTAGATGCCGATGAACAAGCCACCAATTTTTTGTCTTGAGAGAATGCAATGCATTGGACACTGTACCACACACCAAAAATTGTGTGAAGGAACCTTAGCCCCGGAGCGACACCCCAGATTATAAGCCACCTCCCATGTGTCGCTAAATATTCGCCATTTGGAGAAAAAGCAGCAATATGAATGCAGTCATCTTCTTCGATGAGCGTGCTAACCGAGGTTCCGTCTAAAGTATTGTAAAGCCTTGTTTGTCTGCCAGCAGGGATGACGAGCCATTCACCATTGGGCGAGAAAGTTACCTTATTATCCACAGAAGAATAAAGGTTCCCGACGTCAAACTTTCGCCACAGCTGGATATCTATATGATGGGGGTCAACCTTGCTGTTTAGAACTGAATATGCTATTGTTAGAAAAATTTAATGCACAGGCGTTACGAGTCGATTGATATTTCTCACCATCATCAACCATCTCTGGCGCTGGATAAGATGGGTTTGTATTCCACGAAATAGAGGTTTCCGTCATTGAACTGATTGTAGACAAGTCTTGCGTGTATGGAGGGGTGATATTCTCCGAACCAGAAAGGCTCAGGTTTGGCTCTACCCATGTGTGCGAAATGGCCGTAGTAGCCGGCACTGAATTAATTGGAGACGATTCTTGTGTGTTTAAAGAGATCATAGTCTCCAGATTGGAAGGGCTCGGCTTTGACTGTATCCATGTGTGTGAAATAGCCATGGCAGCCGTCATTCGGTCGTTTGGTATAGGACACATAAGAGAGTTGATAAATCCAACACTTAGCGCACTGGATTTGGCAAGACGCCCAGTGGGAAACTTATTTGCCTGCATAACATAGCTGGCAAGAGATCCCAGGTGCTCGAATACCATCTCTTTGGTAAGAAGCTGAAACACAATCTGACCAAGGGCCCAGATATCTGAGGCAAAAGGGGTACCACGATTAATCAAACCATACAGCTCGGGAGCTATATAGCTAGATGTTCCACGTAGGGTTGTAGAAGCGCCCGGGGCTTCTTCTATACGCTTGCTGATACCGAAGTCGGAGATTTTGATCCACCATTCATCTGGCGGGTGCGATTGTATTAAAATATTCTACAATATAGATTTTAGAATATGAGTAAGAGTTTCTAGGAGAAATAGACTGACGTTTGGTTTCAAGTCTCGATGAGCAAAGTTATTGTCGTGCATCATATTCAAACCATCCAAAATCTGGTAGGCGAGCTCCTGGGCCTGCCCCTCTGGCAATGGTGGATTCTCATTCAGATATGCCGAAAGGTCGCCAATTTCAAGGTATTCCATTGCGATCAACAGATATTCCGGGCTATCGTACCAACCTAGCGACTTGACGAAGCATCGTTCATACTACCAAGCATATATCAGTGAAAACAAAGTTCTCAGAATCCTTATATAGACTGCTTATTCGACGAACCCTTGAGTGCGAGAACTTGGCAATAGCCTCGAGCTCGCGGTTGTAATCAATAGCTCCGAACCGCCCACTGATCTCAATTTGTTTCACAGCTCGAATTTCCCTATCTGACCGAGCGCCCTGTGTGCACTTCTCTAACCATACGCTTCCGTACGCACCACTTCCGATTTTCTTTTCTCGCCGCCAATGCTCTGTCCTGGTAACAAGCCGGCGTCTTGAGTTTGGGTTAGGTTCATGATACGCATGGACGGTTTCGACGGTACAATCGGGCAGGTAATACGTTTCCAGCTTGGAATCAAGTACCAAATCTGGGGTATTGGCCATCTAGACGTAGTGATTGATACCCCTGACGGTGTTGAAGCATCCACAAATCTACTTAGAAGCAGAGTCAGCCTTGGAGGGTCCAGACAAGCGGGGTACTTTTTGTCAGCTTTATCAGGTGACATCTTTAAAGAGTGGAGGGTCTAATAACTACAAATGTACGGAGTACTGGTAAAAGCGACAGCTACTAACACCTGGTCGGTCCATGGGAGCTGTGTTGGACTATGTTCTATGTTAAAATAAATATCAGTACCATCTGAAATTAACCCTTTGAACATTTGAAACTAATTTGAAAACATTATTCCAATTACTTAGGTACGGAAGTACTCCGTACATGTATGTTTTTAATGTTTTGATAACTCAACAGCGTGGCAACGTTGGAAAAATACGGAGCACGGAGTAGAGTAGATTATAACAAACCTTCCAAATCGTACCTAGTTTATGACCTAAATAAGCATTCAATGTTGTACTGCATACGGAGTCCTCCGTACTCGTATATTTTACCCATGCTACCCCTAACCAGTGAGTTCTGGGTAGCCTGCGACCTTGGCGTTCTTGTCAACTCAATAGCGCGGACCACCTTCGAGTTATGTTTTTGCCCATCCCTTACAACCTTGGAGGCATTCATATGGTAACCTCAGCCATTCAAGCCCGTAGTGTAGCCAATGGGATTTTCAATTCCAAGAATGCATCGCAATTATGGGATCTTGCCAATAACTGGACTGGGCTGCAGCCAGTCGATGGTCCCCTGCAGGACAATGCTTTGATCTCCCTGTTTTCTTTTTTTCGCCCGGAATGCTGATGAAGAAATAAAATATTATTATGAAAAAGCACATGTCCTCTGTTTGCCAACCTTCCCTCAAGCATCGATTTCACCCAACCTACACCAATGGAGAAGATATCAAGTGATCCTCCAGCGCAGGAAATTCAAAGTGACGCACCTGATGAAGGGGAGCTAGATCGCCCCCCGGCCAGCACCTGGACGGTGGTTTCCCTCACTATTGCTCTGTGTCTAGGCATTTTTTGCATGTCGTTGGTAAGTGTAATGCTATAGACAGCAGCCAGCACTAAAAGAACGTCCATTAAAACTGACTGGCCCAGGATGTCACAATCATCACGACTGCAATTCCTCGTATTACCGATCAGTTCGACTCACTAAACGACGTGGGCTGGTATGGTAGTTCCTTTCTCCTTACAAACTGTGCCACTACCCTTGCCTTCGGAAAATTCTACACATTCTACTCGACAAAATGGGTGTACCTATCTGCCCTATTTCTATTCGAAGTCGGCTCTCTTGTTTGTGGAGTTACCCCTACCTCAGTAGGCCTGATTCTGGGTCGATGTATTGCTGGTGTGGGTGCTGGGGGTCTCTTCTCCGGGAGTCTCTTGATCATTGCTCAGACTGTTCCTCTGCACCGTCGCCCAATCTTCACGGCCCTACTTGGTAGCATGTACGGCATTGCCAGTGTTGCTGGTCCTCCGTGAGCTAAATCTTTCCATCCTATTTTTTGTTGTCTTCTAACTGGATCAGACTGGGAGGCGCGTTGACAGATCGTGTCTCTTGGCGTTGGTGCTTCTATATCAACTTGCCTATCGGTGCTGTTACTGCTACATTCGTCCTGTTTTTCTTCCATGCCCCCAAGTCAGTCAAAAGACGTCCCGAGCTACGCAAACTGCTCGGCGAGCTCGATCCTATCGGCTCGTTCTTCTTCCTACCCGCTATCGTCTGTCTTCTTCTGGCCCTCCAGTGGGGCGGCACAGAATACGCTTGGAATAATCCCCGGATAATTGTTCTTTTCGTGCTCACAGGTGTTCTCCTGCTCGTCTTCGTGGCCGTTCAGATCTATGAGAAGGAGAAGGCTACACTTCCGCCACACATCGTGAAGAACCGGAACATCTGGTCATCGGCCTGGTTTGCCATTACACTCAATGGTGCTTACTTCGTCTTCATTTACTACGTATGTTGAGCCTAAAGTAACTCTAAGTTCGCCAAAGCTAACTTTCTAGCTTCCTATTTGGTTTCAAACAATCAAGGCGGCCTCGGCCACAAAATCAGGTGTAATGAACCTGCCTAGTATCATCGCAGTCGTTATCGTCTCTATTCTATCCGGTGTGCTCGTCACCATATCCGGATACTACAACCCCGTCATGATTATGTCCGCGGTCGCATTATCGATTGGCGCCGGCCTACTAAGTACCCTGAAGACAGACTCGGGGAGTGGAGAATGGATCGGTTACCAGATTCTGATGGGCATTGGTGTCGGCCTCGGAATGCAGCAGCCGTTTATAGTGGTGCAGAATGTGCTACCCGATGTGGATATCCCTACCGGTACAGCTGTGGTGACATTTGCTCAGACCCTGGGAGGTGCAATCTTCATTTCTGTGGGTCAAAATATCTTCCAGAACCAATTTGCTCATGCCATGCGCTTGGAAGATCTTTCCGCAGAAATAGCCACAGCCCTCGCGGCTGGCACGACGACCCTGCGCAAGAATCTTCCAGCTGAGTTGCTGCCAGCTGTCCTGAGATCTTACAATTCCGCTATTACTGAGGCATTCTATGTGGGTGTAGCCCTGGCGGCGCTTTCCATTTTTGGAACGATCGGGTTGGAATGGAAGTCCGTCAAGAAGCCGAGGAACACAACACCTAACGATGAGGCCGCCGTGGCAGCTGAGTCTGGATGAGGTTTATGCAAGTATATAGCAGAGCTAATTGATAGATTGGCGTCGTCTTTCATGTTAATTGTTCGGATCACATATATGGATTCCGGGCTGCACTCCATTGATGGCTTTCCCTTTCTATTTTAGTAGACTCACCCCTTGCCGCTTTTTGATCCACCAAATAAAACTGAGCACCGGTGGACGTTCCGGAGTGTTACATAATTATTCAACTCCCTCGGGCCATGAGGTCTTAGCCTCCGCACCGTTTCATATATTTGGCTTCTCTACAATTCGTTCCACTTCATCCAGTCCGGTGAACTTCTTGACCGTGCTATCAAGTGCACCAAACGGTAGCATCCTCCCAATCCGCACTATCCATGCTTGGGCGCCCCTCCAAATAGTAGGAGAGCTGCTTTTTAGAATGTCCATCACGACTTCCTTGGCCCATTGCTGGGACGGCATGCCAGAACCCTCATAAACAGCACCCCGAATCGTCCTCCCTACCACTTCCTCCGCCTCTTTGTAGATGGATCCACCTGGCAAAGAAGTCCTGTTGTTCTTTCGTTGATTTTTTTTGGAAAATTCGACTCGACAATGCCTGTTTTGAGGTCCACGACCCTAATACCAAAAGGTTTGAGCTCTAGTCGCTCCGAGTCCGAAAAAGACGCCATTGCAGCCTTATAGGCATTGTATGCAGATTGCAATGGCACTGTACACAAGGAGGCAAGTGACGTGTGGTTGACAATCATTCCCTTTGATTTCAGCAGCAACGGCAGGAACGCTTGTTTGACTGCCAAGTAGGACTAGACATTAAGATCGAATATTTTTTTTTCGCATCTGGAATCGAAAGGTCCGACACTGGCATACCATAGCCACCCCCGGTATTGTTGACTAGGATGTCTAGTTCGGGTATATCGCCAACGCACTTCGCAATTGAACTATTCGACTGTACGTCCAAGCACAGTGTCTTAATGCCTTGCGATGCTACCTCCAACGTTTTCGAGGGATCTCGGGCCGTGGCGTATACTTCTAGACCAGCTTCATGGAAGGCGAACGCGAGAGCTGCCCCTAGACCGCCATCTGAACAACCGGTTATAAGGACTTTTCGAGTAGACGGCGACATGAGTTAAATCTCAGTAGAATTTGATTGTCTTTAGTTCAAATAGCTATGGGTAGGGGAATTTTTAGGGGATTGATATATTTGCCCCCTTTGGCTATTCCTGCCCCCCCCCCCCCCCCCCCCCCCCACACCCTGCCTTATTCTGCCTGATTGCTCAGGCAATAACTATTCTGCCAGATATTCTGCCCACTATAATAATTCTAGTTTATATGTATCGTAAAAATTGCACCTTTATACTCACAAAAAGAATACTCATTTCTGTATAATAAAAGGTTCTATTCGTACATAACTGGTTATCCTACTTATTCTGTATTAAATTCCCGTCGCACCTCTGGTCTTAGTTTCAGTCTCAGCACTATACCCCTAGCTGTATCCCCAGCCTTAGTCTTATCCTCGACAGCGGTAAAAGTTAAGAGTAGTAGAGGACATATAAAGAAGAGAAGAAGTAGAACTTGATAGAGGGAAAGGTAAGCTGAAAGATATAAAATTGATTTCAAATCAATTTTCATAAAGCTTTACTTTTAACAATAGGCACTTATTTCTGTTAGTGGTTTACATAGTAAGTGGAGGTACCATAAGTAGTACTATAATTGACCAGAGAAAGCGGTGGGTCTAAGAAGAAAGCGGTAAGGAAAGCGGTCAGTGATTGCCTAAATATCCAGGCAGGGGGGGGCAGGAATAGCCAAAAGGGGGCAAATATATCAATCCCCAATTTTTAGGCCATGAAACACCAATATGAGCTATGAGCTTCGGGGGCAATCGGTGCGAAAAGTCGTGACGTCAGTGGAGCTGAATATGTGATGTTGGCACCGTAGTTAATTCATGGTAAACCCTAGAGATGAAATATTTGATAGAGAATCTAAAGATGCTCTCTGGAACAGAATATAGAATGTAAGTGAGTCTATCATTGAATATCAGGTTAATAATTTGAAACCCATATGTATAAAGGGCAGGTGGCCTGACATACTCCTCAACTAGATCAATGGAGAACAACATTGCAAACCAACGTTTTCTGAAAGAACAATGAAATAAGTGAGTAGGACTCTGGGCGTCTTCGTAAAGTGGTGGCACCTCGAAAAATCGCGATCGCTCATAGAGTGACATCTGGTTACGTATTCTCGGAGGGGTGAAGCATAAACAGTAGTACATGTAAATATCCAGCGCTAGCGTTGAATCATCAACCAACTCATCCCACACAACCCTTTCAGACGATCATAAACCCGGGGTCGTTTGCCACTTCCAGACACCAATCGATAGCCTGATATTTTCTTTTTTGTTTAAGCCAAGCCATAAGGATGATTTGTCACAGGGGTCTGTCGTGGCGCTGGGCTAAGGTAGCGGGGCAAGTTGTTTTTTTCACCCTCAAGAAACAATCCTAACAGTGGCCTTCGGATTTTCCTTGGCACACCTTGGCCTCCGACACTGCAGTTCCTCAAAAACCAAACGAGTAACCTGCATTCGTATTTGTTCCGGTGGATTGAGTCATGTGGTAATAGATACAACCCTGCAGATTTGGTTGAAGGATCCCTTGCATAATGTGATATGTCTAATCCGTGCATTCCAACGTAAGACTCGGTACGGAGTTACATAGCACGAGGTCACGGAAGCTATTCAGATGCACCGCATACCAAGCAGGGCGTTTGCTGCATGAGACGCGTCCTCTAGTCTAGCTGAAACCTGCAACCATGAGCTATTGACATTAGCCTGGAATATAGGGCCTAGACCTTGCATTCTGGACGACCTTTAGATGACAGACAACACTAAATATCTCCAATTCACATCTACTCTGGACAAACTCTCAGACCGCGATACGAAAATGACAGTCTCTTCCACAGCTCAGTCTCTCAAGGCCTCTGTGCCAACAGTTGCACACGCGGCAGATATGCCCCATCGGACGCTTAGCAAGTCGATGACATTTGCCAATCTGGACCAATACCGATACTGGCATGCCGTGGGTCCAATGCTGGGGAAAATGCTCTCCAACGGCAACTACAATATCCATCAGCAATATGAATATCTGAGTCTTTTTGCGCATGTCATAATCCCAAAGCTGGGACCATTCCCTGACGGAAGGGACATATACAAATGTCTGCTCGGAGGCACCGGCTCCGTGGAGCTTAGCCAGAATGTCCAGAAATTAGGCCTGACTGCACGGGTTGCGTTCGAGCCCACAAGCTACATTTCTAGCACCGGAGTTGATCCGCTCAACCGACACACGGTGCATGCTACCCTGGCCGAGTTGAGGGCTATCGGGTCGGCCACGGTTGATATGGAGCTGCATCAAATGCTCGTCAACGAGCTGACCTTGACCGACCGCGAAGAAAAACTCATGTCTCCCGAACAAATCTCAGGAACTGCGTGGAAGACGCAGATTCTACTTGCTTTGGACTTGGGACAGACCGGTATCACGGTGAAAGAATATTTCTATCCGGCAATTAAAGCTAGTGTCATAGGGCAAAGCGTGGCCGAGTTGTGCTTTTCTGCTATTCGGAAAGTGGACAAGCAAGGAGTTTTCGAATCTGCGAGCAAATTCATTGAGACATATATGCAAACTCAGAGCCAGACAGACCTTTACTTTTTGTCCTGTGATCTGGTTGATCCAGCAGAAACTCGGATCAAGCTGTATCTGATGGAGCTAGACATGCGGTTGGCAAAGGTCGAGGAGCACTGGACAATGGGTGGCAAGCTCGGTGACGAAGAGACATTGCTTGGACTGGAAATGCTGAAGGAGCTGTGGGTAGACTTCGGTATTATCGAAGGCATGCGGGATGAACCGGAGCGGCCGTCGCAGCCTGGAGACCCAGACACCATTGTTCCCTTTATCATGAACTACGAAATGAATCCCGGCGAGCCGTTGCCCAAGCCCAAATTCTACTTCCCCTTGGTCGGAATTTCCGAGCTGAAAATTGCCAATGTGCTCACTGCGTTCTTCGAACGCCACGAAATGCCCGAGCAGGCCGCAGTCTATCGCGACAATTTGCAAACATACTAGTAAGTTCCTCTCTATACACATGCCCAAATTTCCTTATTAACCGGACTCGTGTGCTATCAGCCCCAGCAAGGACTTGGCTGTCGCGACGGATCATCAGGCATGGATGTCCTTTTCATACACTAAGAAGAAAGGACCGTACCTCACCATGTACTATCACTAGTAACCTACAACAAATTAGCGCATCTTCGATGATGTTTGAAGAGAGGCATGAATTCATGGGCAGTCTTTTTTTGTACGCAATTGAGGACGTATCAGCTAGCCAGAATGAAGAAATTCCATTGTACCATGGGAACATCCTTCCAAGGTTGGCATTGGATAACTTTCTAAGGTCACTTGCAAAAATTATGTAAATATCGGAAGCTGCGCATTATGATTTCTCTTTGGCTACTGAGATACTTTTGAGAATAATCTTCAGCAAAGAAGATAATATTTCAAAGCTATAAACACTATGGGGACTGCGAGCGTCCTACTAGTTGTGATAACCATTTCCCACCTAAGATGACTTCTGACCGGTTGCAAAAACAGCAGTCCACTTCTGCGGCACCAGGCCACTAGCTCCATAAGTCTCATCCAAATACCGCTGAAGTGCTGGCAGGATGTCCTGTTCGTGCTTATCTCTTTGTTCCTGATTCCACCATTTACTGACAATGATAGGAATCACGGGCTGTGCAATTTTGTACAAGTCCTCGATAGTTGTTTCAAACTGCTTCGAGATTGTCGTGACTTGGACTTTCTCGAACCCTGCCTCCTCGAACCTAGAGTGCACATAGTCCTCTGAGTCCCATCCTGGGTTCATGCAGGACATGAACTCCTTGGTGGTTGGGAATGGTAGATCTGCCGGGATTGTGGCAACAGCGGCCTCAAGGACAGGAAGCCATTCGGCTGTAATACGTTAGAATTTGCCCTGGCGATCGAGGGGGGCAAGACATACTTCGCTGCCAAGTTGAAATAGTAAGCGTTCCCCCTGGCTGAAGAATCCGCATGACCTCTATTGATGTACATCAGTTTCCATTTGAGCGGTCTTGGCTGTGGGTGAGCTAACCTTTCATTGCAGCATAGGTATCGGGGAAGGAGGTAAAAGCTAGGCGACGGGAATTTCGATATCAGTATTTTCTGGTCAGAATCAAATTGTTCCCATATATTACATACCAAGGGCCGCAAAAACGTTAGTATAATGTCCGCTAGGAAGCTCGGTGTTTTGCGCATCCACCACCTTGGCGGTCGAATTATCCCATCCTCGCTCCAAAATCTTGTGCTTCACATGGCCGGTGAGCTCAGTTGAGATATCACCACAGGTCAGCTCCCAGCCTTCTTGTGACTGGGAATCTAACATGTCATGGAGGGCATCAGAGACTACACCCGTTCCGCAGGCGAGGTCGAGGATCACCAAAGGCCGTAGGCTAGACTCACTCAGCCCTGAGAGTTCTATCAGATCGTGAGTAAAATAGCGGGTAATCTTTTCCGCGACCATGTAGGTATCCAGAATTCCCTGGCCTGCGTAGAGCTCAGTAAAGTTGGTGGCGCGAGTCATGGTGAGATCGGGATGCTGATGAATTAAATATTTGGAGCAATATGTTGATTATAATTTCGAGAGGTTAATGAAGTGAAATCCTCTTATAGATATGTCGATGTGCTTTCCTAATAGAGCAGTGACAGTTGTTACAGACAGTTCTAGGTACCCTTTTCAGCTCTGTACCTAGGGAGTATTCCATGCAATGCATCAGATACAAAAACAAAATTTAAAGAAACACATGCGCACGATTCTCCTTCATTTCGATCTAGAACTAGATCTAGATTCCTAGCATACCTGTGCATACCTCATTGAATGCAAGGAGTCACGAGGTGGGTCCCACATTCCAAGTGCTCCGTATTGCGTAAATATCTGCAAAAGCACATACATACGAGGTATATAGAGCACAGCTACTAGTGGTTTTGCAGATTTGTTTTTTAGTGGCGCAATCTAGCCTTGTATACGTGTAGATCATTTGCTGTACTTTAAGCGCTGAGGATTCGGATTTATCGGTGTCACTTGGGAGTATCTACTTTCTACTCTTGCGTTGATATATCGTGTATACTCAACAAGTTGGTTTATTGAATCGACGAGTAAACACTAGTCGACAATGGACGTCATTGCTGGGTATCCATTTTCTTCTTCTGGCACAGGCTGTGCAATTTCGTTGTTCATCTTTGGAGCTATTCTGCTTTTTGTATTTCACAAAAACCAGCCATTCGTAACCATAAACTCGCACTCGTGGGATATTTTCCGAAGCAAATCCAAGCGAGAATTTGAATCAAATGCAGAAAGCCTCATCAAGAATGCACTACGAAAGGTCGGTTAAATTAAACGATTATGTGTTTTGAAGGACAATTACTGACACCCACAGGGACTTTCGGCCTTTCAATTGGTAACAAACATGGGTACCTATCTGATCCTTGCGGATCGATACGCCGAGGAATTGAGAAATGATGAAAGATTTAGTGCTTATGATGCTTTGAATGATGTAGGCTTGCTTCTTTCTCAAACCTACTTTGTGCATATTTGCCTGACCCTGTCACTTGCAGGTGATCCTCCTGGAACTCCCAGGATTTGAAACTATGTTTCAGGGCTCATTGCATAATCATGTGTCCCCTACTGCAATTCATGCTATGAACAGGGAGCTAGGTAAGTGGGTGAAGCCCTTGACTATTTGCGTCACGCATGATTAATCGCCACTTCATAGTCCAATTGACTCGTCCACTCTCAAATGAAGCAGACCACTGTCTGCAAGCTCAGTGGACCGAGAATTCCGGTATGCTCTAAATATCCACTGATACCATGCTTACTGTGGAGTCTGATGGATTACAGAATGGCACACTGTTTCAATCCACGACACTGTCTTGGCCTTGGTTGCTCAGATGACCACGCGGGCATTTGTTGGAGCTAAGCTTTGTCGTAATGCTGAATGGCTCGATATTGCCATTAGCTTTACGATCAACCGCGCTATTGCCGTCCAGGCAATCCAGGCTTGGCCGTGGATCTTCCAACCAGTCGTCCACTGGTTCTTGCCCACGTGCAAGGCTGTTCGTCGTCAGATTCAGCGAGCTCGGGAAATTCTGATGCCAGTTTTAGAGCACGACAGGCGGAATATACACAGCAAAGCCTCACTCACCGACCGGGTATTCTCGACATTGACTTTCATTGATCAGTATGCCCAAGGAGCGCGCTACGACGCTACCATGGCCCAGCTAAGACTAACCGCTGTGTCTGTTTTGACCACTTCAGACATGGTGGAGAAGGTACTGGCAAGAATTTGTGAACACCCAGAGCTAATTCAGCCACTCCGTGAGGAGGCAATCTCGGTCTTTGAGAGTAGTGGCTTGCACCACAACTCCCTACTCAAACTAACACTGATGGATAGCGTAATGAAAGAAAGCCAGCGGCTTGAACCTGCCACACTCAGTGCGTCGTCCTTTTTTTTTTTTTTTTTTTTTTTCTCCCATTTTCGGTTCGCGTTGATGGTTCTACTTTGCTGATGAATTTTGATTTTCAGTATCCATGTTCCGTGTGGCCAAAAAGAAGGTCACATTGCAAGATGGCACAACTATTCCTAAGGGTGCCAGCATTGCCTTTGCAAACGATCTTCGGTTAGACCCATTGATGTATCCGGATCCTGAAACCTTCGACGGTTATCGATTTGAAAGAATGAGGAAAGTTCCGGAGCAGGCTAGTCTCGCTCCATTCACCAAAACAAGAACTAGTCACTTGGCTTTCGGTCATGGGAAACATGCTTGTCCTGGCAGGTTCCTTTCTTGTGATGAAGCTAAATTGATTCTTTGTCATATTTTGCTCAAGTATGACTTCAAACCAGCGGATGGACGCGTCCCAGATCTGCGTATTAGTGGCATGTTTATCCAGAGGGATACAGGAGGGATGCTCTCGGTCAGGAGACGCCAGGAAGAAGTCACACTGTGATGATAGTCATGTATAGACTAGGTTCATGAATCCAGATGGTTTGAACAGATCGAAACTATTTGCCTTTACACGTCATCATTCTTTTAGAAGCATCTCGTTTCGTTCAAATAAATTGGCTCCTATTAGATGGCTCTTCTATTATGTTACTATTATGTCTAAAGGGATATCATCCTAATCTTTAACTTAAATGTATATTCTAGCAGGCATTGAAAATAAATTCCAGAAAAACGGTCTAGGACTATAAATCAAGCTTCTACTGACTTCTTGTAATCGAACGCCACCTCGTACTTGCTGTCCGATGGAATGTTCTTTGGTCGGTAGCCCGTCACATCCTGAACCGCACTCATCGCAGCCGGAAACTGCTCGTAAACATCATGGCGGACGTCGTAGCCAAAGATCCACGCAGGACGTGGGAACTTCATAATCGATGGATTCTTCTCAATCGCCTCCCAGTCCGGATCACGCATCTGACTATAAATTGCATTACCGCTCTCCTGAATAATGCTGGTGCGCTGGTATCGAATTTTCTCTACCACTTGGAGAGCGAGTTTTACTCGTTGTTTACCTGCCAGCTCCAGACAAATGGCCAAGGTAGCCGCATCCTCGACAGACTGACCACCCCCCTGGCCTACAATCGCAGACATCGCGTGTGCTGCATCGCCTATGACCATGATACGCCCATTTTGAGAACTCCAGGTCGGCAATGGATCACGAGAGATGATCTTGTAGTCTGCGAGCTTTTCGCTGGGCGTGTGTCGAAGAACAGCAGCCACTCGAGAGTAAGCGGGCCAGTCCTTTAGTAGAGCGAGAGCGTCCTCAACGCGGGCATCGGTGACATTTTCCCAGGATTCATCAGACTTCTCATGGTTCTAATATTATTCCCAAGTCAGTTTTTACACAGGTCTTCAGAGCTGAGAGTAATACGGACCCGGTGCCACACCTGCCAAATCACATTCTGACCGCGCTTTCCAGTTGCCAATGTCAACCCCAGACCTCCGGTCGTTATGTACCTTCGCATCCGGTCCTGCACGCCCGCTTCCTCCAGGATCCACTGAGCCTCAGGATCATCCGCGAGCAAGCTGGCACTGAAGCACGCCCGGAAAGCTGCTAGCCCGGAGGGTTGGGGAGTTATCTGATAACCCAGAACATAATCTCGTGTCTTGCTGTGCACTCCATCCGCGCCAATGACGCAGTCGGCTGCGATCCGTTTCTCACCATTGACAGTCACGCCAGCTTGATGCTCGTCCTCCCAGTACTCGGTGACGGCCGAGCCAAAGCGCAAATCTATTCCCAGGGCCTTGGAATGCTCGTATAATCTATGGATCAATGTTCCACGGTGGATGATCATGCCCTCCCCCACGCCATACCCATCCATGGAATCCAGGGCGTACAGCTTTCCCGCAGGGTCTAGAATCTCAATGGCGGCCACATCGTCGGATTGGGAGACCAGTTGATGCAGGACTTGACCGTCGCTCCAATTTTGTAGAACTTTTGTCGCATTGCTTCCCAAGGCGATACTATCTCCTGTTCTAGTCAATAAACGACGCATAGACATTCAGCTTGATATTACAGAGCTTACCTAGTACCCTAATCTCCGGACTTCTTTCAAGGCCAACTACCACATGTCCCTTGTAATGGCACTCAATGGCAGCGACTAGACCAGCAATCCCGAGCCCGACGATAATCACTTTGATGCCACTGGAACCGGGTGCCGCAGCCTCATTGGGACCAACGCCTTGTGTGACAGTCATCGTAATTTGAGTATACGAGTTCCTTCTTCTGACTTTCTGGCTCTGGATTGATATCTACAACAAGAAGGGTAAAATCTCTCTTTATGGCCACTTGTCCGCCGATCCTCACTATAGAGGCTAGAACCCAACCATAGCATAGACTACCTAGCGATTATGGGCTAGATGGATAGCTCATCCCCACATTCCATCCTCTATCTGCACTTGTCACTAAAATAACTCGCTATACACATCGTCGATTGCGTTTCGATCACGTTGTGCGTATTTCGATACAATGGTTCTGCAGCTATCATTTCATCTGGCATGCCAGCAACTCGCTGAGCAATGAGGTCATGGAATAAATCCCTACGAATGAAATTAGTTCATGCGGACTGTCACCTATGATGTATATGTGACATCCAAGCAAGGGGGCCCGAGAAAGGCTGCAATGCATGGCTGTCGGAAATTACTTTCAGCTGTAAAACAGAAAAGGCTGAAGCTGAGAATGACGCCCGACTATTTCATACTAGTTGCATACTCCGTATAATGTACAATGTAAATGTGATATAGGAATGCGAAACCGTGTTATAGTTTCAATGTAGTCAGATTAAACCCCCTCGAGACGGACAGAAAGGGCTACGGGCAATCCCTACGGGTATCACGGGTCGGACCTAATGTAAGGGACTTTGCCACGGCGCTTGTATATGCAGTGAGAAAATCCCTGCGGATGATCAGATGCTACCTCGTATCTGATTTTTGTGGTGCTTGGCAGTACATTGCAGCCTCGAATTACAGTCACCTCGAGGGTATGGAGAAACTCTCTGCAAATAGGGGTCGAGAACCTTTCCGATTTTCCGCATCCCATTGATTGGGTCATGATAACTCTAGATCAACATCGATCTGCATCCACTAGTGGCAAGTAAAAGGAGATCTTGCTAGGGTGAGGTACATGAACTATTCAGTACTCCGTATCGATCTATGACAATTCCCGACGATCGCTAGTCACGATCTAGATCACCATTCTAATAATTGTGGCAGGGAATTTACCTGTTTCCTCCTCCTTTACTCCGTACCTTGTGCATAAACGAGAACGAGAGACCGAGGCTCGGAATCACGAAAAGATTCATGATTCGAATATGATCATCAATCAATCGGGACATTTTGAAATTCTGAGACAGCTTTTCCTGTCCATTCAATTCATATTATGAAATTTGACTTGTTCGCCAGATGGAAACCCCAGTGCTTAGAAGCACAAACAATCAGCCAAATATGGTGACAAAATTCCACTTTGGGATACAGAAGTTGCGGCACTGAGTTCCAACGATAAACTTATGTATTTCCACTAGCTTAACCTGGTTCTAGCTCACTCAAGTGGAAAGTAGAACACAGATTATAGCGCTTCTAAAATAATCTCTTGCTCAGCAACCTTGAACCATGCTTCGCCTCGTTTCTGAGCATCCTTCTCATTCACAGCAGACTTTCCAGGGGATTTCAACTCATAATTCTCGACAGTGTACGCAACCAAGACCTTGAGGATCGTGTCTGCCAGCGCCTGTGCAATACACTGGCGAGGCCCGAAGCCAAAGCGCCAAAAGCGATACCGAAAGTTTGACCTGGATTCCTCTATAAATCGCTGGGGACGGAAGCTCATTTTATCAGAGCCCCATGCATCATCCCAAATATTCAAGGCGTTCGTGTCAACCACCATGAAGGTACCACTGGGAATGCGGTATCCACCCACATCGCGGTCAGTGGGCATAGATTGCGCGTAGGTGTAGTTAGTGACTGGTTTCAGTCTCGCAGATTCATTGATACAGCTCGCAAGCAGAGTCGAGTTGCTGGCAATGTATTTGACCCAGGAATCTGCGGTTGTGTCAGATCTGGTTTTTGAGATCTCATTTCTAACCTCGCTCTGTAGACCGGCGTTCTCAGCTAGGAATTGCGGAATCCAGGAGAAGCTGCCAATTGTCACATCAATGTTGGCAAATAAAGCCTCGTCCAATGTATGCATCAGTTCGGTTGGTGTAATCTGACCTTGCTCGACGGCCATATACAAGCTAACAATAGCACAAACAGAGGCGTCCTCGCGGTTCTTTGCATCGTGGTACGCTTTCCGATTGAAATCGGCCCAACGAGTGTGGAAAGCGTGCAACTTGTTCCTTATGGCAGGGTAAAATATCTTGCTGATAGAGAACAGTGATAATCCACCCTTGAAGGCATATTGAAACACATCAGTGCGCAGATCAGTGATGAGCAAGAGTTCCTCTGTCATTTCCGGGGACAGGTTTCCATATAAGAGGTCACTAATGACCCAGAAGGGCAGAAGCTTGAGATCCTCGGCGGGCTTGATTCGCAGCGTTTTCCCGCCTTCATAGTCCTTGTAGAGCTCAGAGAAATGCTGAGAAATACGGGATTGGACAAAGGGGACGTATGTCGTGGGCTTCTGGGTAAATGGTGGTGAGACTACAGCATGGACTCGTTTCCAGTGTCCTTGGCTGATGAGTCCGACGCCGTCGCCGACTAGATCGCCCATCACCCATCCACCATTTAGGTTCGAAGCCTTGTAGTGGTTGCCGGAGTCTTTAAAGACCGTCTTGATCTCATCCGCGCGGGTCAAAATGCTGTCCTTTCATTTAGCCTTGTCAGTTCACGTTGGGAGAGGGAACTTACATTTCTGGCGTCAGGCCAACCCATATGCGATAGATCGGGCCATATTTCTCGGCCCACTGACGAGAGACGCTCTCTCCCTCCAAGAACTTGATACTACCCCCACCATCTGGAAATTGGTAGGGGCAAGTTGGGATGGGCGTTGAGCCATCTGTAGAATAAATTGGGTACCACCAGAGCAAAAGTTTCTGGATACAGTAATCAACAAAAGTCAGCAGTGTTTTGATGTTTTCTTTGGATATCACAAACATTTATTATGTAGGAAACTATTTTATTTGACCGAGTGTTCGGCTGAAAGGCGTACCACGACGTGACTAGAAGCGATGCAACTGCCAACTGCAGAATAAGAAGAGTGTAACCTGACATCATGTGAAGCTGACGTTGGAAAGAACCAAAAGTACTAAGAGGAGGATTTGAATGATGAATTGCAATCCAATTTGTAATCGATTCCATGACTGCTCGGGTTCAATTGCCCCAGTGGGTATGTATGCACGTACAACATACATAAGTACATCCAGCGATGGATACGATCTAGTCCAGCTTCGTCAAGTGCGGCTGACGTTCTGAGACACCACTAAATGGCCAGAATCTTACCTAGTATGCGTGGGTCTAATGTTGATCAGCAAGGACCAACCTACACGGTCGCACCGAGTCGATGTGAGAAAGCGCATGTTGCCCATGATATGCAAGGACTAGTGGGGATCGGTGCAGGTGGTCGCCACGCATGAAGAGTCACTAGTGGCCAGACTCAGCTTGGCAAGTATAACGACATTCTTGGTGCTGATAGCCCATTCTTGACCATTTTTAAGGATAGATTGGCAGAAGTCATTTGGGCTGACGAACGAACCTCCCACGTATCCATTACGGTGAAAGAGCTCTCATACATATTTCGGGAGGGACCTTCCTAGTAATCTTTGTAATCCTTGACCACCGTTGCTATGGGCTCTTATCATGATCATCATACTATTTCCCTTCCTTTGAGTGGAGAATTGGAAGCAGGATGGACTGGTAATGGCGAAGCGCTGTTCCAGCCTCATCTTTTCAAGGCATCCTGGGCCTTGTTGCTTTCCAGACTCTCAGAAACACACACAACAATATTTGCAGTGTTGGAACAACTGCCAGTCCCTCCGAGCGAGACGTGTTCAAAATCAGTGTTTTCGCCTCCGCATTTGGAAACATGGGAAATATCAGACAAGCCAGACAGTCTTTTGGTGGATGCAGCGAAGGAAAGGCATTGTGGGCCTCTTTCAGGCACACAGCCGTCGACGGGTGTGGTTATTAGGTGGCATGATGAATTGAATGATCCGATCTCGGTAAGTAGGACTCTATAATGCGTTCTTCACACATTGCCCTAATAGAGTCTCAGTCGCCCTGTGTATGCAATACGATGATTGCTTTGGATTGCAGTAAATCACCTGTCCAAATATCCATGAAATACTTAAGCACATATCTCACAGTGAACCAAGCCTGGTCACAATTAACGGCTACGGTTCATATTCTGAAGCAAATGGTTAGGAGCCCAGGGTTATCACTCCATGAGGTGGATTTCCTGGGTTCTTATAGCACCAGATTGATCCGGCAATGGAACAACCCGTACTCACTTGTACGACCACAAGTGTGCATACATACCTTGATCCTAGAACATTGCCGGAGCCAACCCAATGCCGAGGCACTGTGTGCTTGGGATGGTTCCATCACGTATGCGGAGCTTGATCAATTTTCACTCGCAGTGGGACTCAAGCTGCTGTCGCTTGGTGTTAGCCCAGAGTCAGTGGTGCCGCTCTACTTCGAAAAGTCGCGCTGGACGGCGGTCGCCATGCTGGGAGTTTTAAGAGCGGGGGGGGCTTTTGTTCTTCTCGATCCATCTCACCCTATGACTCGTCTGGCTGAGATTTGTTCAGAGGTGCAGGCAACTGTGGCCATCGCCTCGGAGTCATTACAAGAACTGGGTCGGCAGCTGGGTCCTCGGGTTGTCACTGTCCCAGGAACAAATAAGAGTAACATCAGCACAGATAGGAATGCCTTTAGCACATATGTCAACCCTTCAAATGCCGCATACGTCGCTTTTACTTCTGGCTCTACCGGAAAGCCCAAAGGCATTGTGATTGAACATCAGTGCTTCGTTGCAAATACGCTGGCTCAAAACGCGGTCCAGAATATTAATAGACAAACACGAGCATTTCAATTTGCTTCATATGGGTTTGATAGCAGCATTCTTGAAACACTTATGACTTTGGTGGCGGGTGGTTGCGTCTGTATACCCTCGGAGGAGCAGCGGCTCAACGGCCTTGCAGATGCTATCCGCGGGCTGCGAGCTAACTGGCTCGAATTGACCCCATCTGTGGCACGGTTCATCAATCCTGAAGAGGTACCGGACGTGCGATCCGTCTTGCTTGTCGGTGAGCCCATGTCTCAAGACCACATCACACAATGGTCAGGGTCGGAGAAGGTTCAACTTCTGAACGCATACGGTCCGGCCGAGTGTAGTGTGGTAGCTGCTATCCAGCCTCATGCGAAACTGGAAGATCCCCAAAATATCGGCCGTTCATATAGCAGTCACTGTTGGATCGCGAACCCTCACGATCATAATCAACTTGAGCCCCTGGGCGCGGTAGGGGAATTACTCATCAGCGGGCCAATCGTGGCCCGAGGCTATCTCAACCAGCCCCACCAGCAGTCTTTCATATCCAACCCTCGCTGGGCGACGCGTTTCGGGATTTCTCCAGGCGAACGTGTTTATAAAACTGGAGATCTTGTGCGATATAATGTTGATGATGGCTCGTTGCGCTACGTTGGGCGCAAAGACCGGGAGGTGAAAATCCACGGGCAACGTGTTGACCTACAGGAAATCGAACATCATGCCTCCCAGTTTCAAAAGAGAATACTTGCAGTGGCTGATGTAATTCAAGTCAACGGTAGCAGCGCGAGGAAACTTCTTACTTTGTTCATTGCCGCGGATAATGATGAGACTCGCATGACGAAGCAAAGCTTCGTCGTCCCCATTAATGACACCTTGCTCGATTTGGTGACCGGCGTCAAACAATGGCTTCGTGACCGTCTACCCCCATACATGATTCCAACCAAGTATATATTCGTTAACCGCTTTCCTCTAACGAGAACCGGCAAGCTAGATCGGCGTGCCTTGGTCGAGCTTGGGACAGTATCTGGTCACTCGCCGTCTGGAGAGCACCCGTCGAATCAGCATGATAGAGAAGATTTTGAGCTGGACCCGGAGCTTATCGTCAAGGAAAATACCTTATGTTCAATGTTTGCTGAAGTATTGGGGTGTCTGGAAAGAGACATTAGCGCAGAAGACGGTTTCTACGACATGGGAGGGAATTCATTAGCTGCCATCCAGTTGGTATCCTGTGCACGCAAGCGTGGTATGGACCTTACGGTGGCGGATATCATCCGTCTTCAGAATCCACGAGAGATTGCGCGATGTACTGTGGAAAGCAGAGAAGCTGACGAGATCTCGCCATTCTCTCTTCTCGTGGATATCGAAGACAGTCTATCCGCCGCGACCGTCCATTGTGGCGTTGAGAGAGAGATGGTTGAAGATATTTACCCATGCACCCCACTGCAAGAAGGCCTTATGCATCTCTCGATAAAGAATCCGGGAGCTTTCATGGGCACATACCGATTCTCATTGGCTCCTTCGACGAACCTACAGCGGATCTGGGCTGCATGGGAACAGCTTTGGCTTGTGCACCCTATCCTCCGAACACGCATCATTCAACTTCAGGATGGTCAAATGCTTCAAGTAGTCACCAAGCAGAAGTCCCCATACAAGGATATTTTAGCCATGGATGATTCCCAGCCCATGAACTTGGGGAACCCCCTTGCACGTGTGACATTCCATCCTGGACCAGCTTCCGCTGGAACAGATTCTGGCATATTCCTGCTGACCATGCACCACGCTCTTTTTGATGGATGGTCATATCTGCAGCTGCTTGGAGATCTCCAACTGATGTACAATGGGGACAGACTGCCACCACGCCCTGCCTTCAATCATGTCATTAACTACATCTCCAAGCTGAGCATTGAGGAAGGTCGTTCTTTTTGGACTCAAGAGTTCAATGATTTCCAAGCAACAATGTTCCCTATCTCTCCCCGACGACCCTCTGCCTCGCCACATTGGCAAGTCAGAAGCCAGCAAACTATCCTGGCCAAGTCAGATATGAACTGGACTCTCGCCAATAAAATCAAATTAGCATGGGCTCTTGTGGTCTCTTCCCAAACTCACTCGAATGATGTGGTGTATGGATTGACGGTCTCAGGCCGGAATGCCCCAGTTCCAGAGATCGATCGTATTGTTGGGCCAACTTTTGCAACATTCCCCTTGCGCACGCAGCTTGATGACAAACTAACGGTGGAAGATATATTGATCCAAATGCGACAGCACGATGTCTCTATCATGCCATTTGAGCATATTGGTCTCAGGCGTATCGCGGAGTCAAGCTCAGACGCGGCCTTGGCTTGTGGATTCCAGAATCTTCTTACCATTAGATTGCAATCTCTTCAGATTCCTCAGGGTGCCTTGATTGATTTACCCGAGAACGAAGACCATGATTTCAAGTTTGCGTCGTATCCCCTGTCAATCGTGGCCCAACAGCAAGATAAATCACTAGAGATCAAAGCTATCTTTAATAACCACATTATAGGCACTGATATGGCCGAGGCTCTGCTGGAGAATTTTGATGCGCTGTTGCAGCGAATCCTTCAAGAGCCCGGGGCGAGAATGAGGGACCTGAGGGGCCAACTTCCCGCCAAGTGGCAGCAATTGGTGGCGATCAACAAAAAGACTCTGCCTCACCTGAATTGCCTTCACAATATTATCCAGGGCTTTGGCGTGACCCAACCAAACTCAGAGGCCGTCTGCGCATGGGACGGGTCCCTAACATATGAAGAACTTGTCGTGTTGTCACGAAGGTTAGCAGGCCATCTTCAATCTTCCAGATCTGGGTCAGGACCCGGCGTTTTCATCGGGATTTGCGTGGAAAGGTCGAAATGGTTCCCAGTTGCCATCCTGGGTGTCATGATGTCTGGAGCAGCCATGGTTTTGTTGGAACCCAACTTCCCTGTACAGCGTTTGCAGCATATATTGCGAGACTCTGGGGCACAAACGATGATATGCTCTCCGGCATTCCAAGAGAAGTGCACAGGCATGGTCGATGATATGTTGGTTCTGACTCCCGATATCTTGACACAACTGGACTACGATGCTTGGACTCCATCAGCGGTGTCTCATCAAGATGCAATGTATGTTGCTTTTACATCCGGATCAACCGGTGTTCCAAAGGGCGTTGTGATAGAGCATGGCATGGTATATTCGATGATCCAGGCCCATAAGAACGTCATTGGCGCATCAATTGCCTCCCGGGGCTTGCTTTTCGCCTCGCCCGCCTTTGATATCTGTCTTGCTGAGATTGTACTTGTCCTCGGTGCGGGTGGCTGCGTTTGTGTACCTTCTGAAGCTCAACGCATGAACAGCTTGGCGAAAACGATGACAACTATGCAGGTGAACATGGCCATGCTGACCCCTTCGGTAGCGCGAACACTTTCTCCGGCCACAGTTCCCTGTCTGCACACTCTGATCCTTGGAGGGGAGCCACCATCAGCCTCTGATCTGGCGACATGGGCTTCACAAGTCCAGCTGCATCAATCATATGGGCCGGCCGAGTGCGCTATGTACACAACCACTACAGCGCCATTGACTCTCACCTCAGATTTGGGCAACGTCGGATCTTCGCCAAACGCATCCTGTTGGATCGTTGACCCGGACAACCACGATGAGCTTCAGCCTGTGGGCTCGGTAGGAGAACTACTGATTGGTGGGCCGATTGTTGGAAGAGGGTATATCAACCGGGCCCAAGAGTCTGCAGCGGCCTTCATTCGTGACCCCGTCTGGAGTGAGAAATTCCCCTTCCTGCGAGGAGACCGACTTTACAAGACTGGAGATCTCGCTGTTTTGAACGCAGACGGGTCTTTGGTTTTGATTGGCCGGAAAGATACACAGGTCAAGCTCAATGGGCAGCGGATTGAGCTGCACGAGATTGAGCATTGTGCCGAGAGATACCAACATGGTACCGCGGTCATTGCGGAGTTGATAAAGCCTGCCGGCATCGAGAGACCCAGACTTATCATGTTCGTTTATGATCTTGTAACGGTAGAAACAACGGTGGGCATCACATCAGCTTGTCATGACCATCGGGAGGTGTTTCTCCCTCCTTCAGCACAAAATAAATCTTACCTTGAAGGTGTGAAACACCATCTCAACCAACACCTCCCACCGTACATGGTACCTTCCCTTTTCCTTTCACTATCTCGTCTGCCGCTCAGCCCAAGTGGCAAGGCCGACCGCAAGACGCTACGCCAGATTGCATCGAAAATGGAAAGAGAGGCATTGGAGATGTATCTGGAGAATCCGGTGACGGTGAAAAGGGAACCCATCACAGAGCAAGAGCGATTCGTCCGTGCAAGTTTTGCCACGGCCCTATCATTAAATGAGGAGGCTATTGGTATAGACGATAACTTCTTCGCTCTGGGAGGCGACTCCATCACTGCCATGCGGGTTCTCACTTTGTGTCGGAGAAGAAACATGGCCATCTCGATGCAGGAATTCCTCTCAAACAACACTGTATCCTTATTTTGCACACATTCCATTGTGATTCAGAGCGACGGTGTTGATCCGAAACGCCAGAAGCTCCTGAAGTCACAAGAATCGATTAGAGGGGAAGATCATCTCGTCCAGTTTGAGCACGTCGATTACCAGCTGGATATGGTTCGATCTCAGCTGAATTTGTTAAAATCCGATTCCATCGAGGATATCTACCCCTGCTCTGATGCCCACAGTGGGGTGTTGGAGCTCTATACGTCTAATTACACGAGCACTGCAATTTTCGAAATTTGCCCTACGGGCTCAGTGACTGCGATGCAAGTGAGCAACGCTTGGAGTCAACTAGTGCACCGTCATGTTGCCTTGCGGACGGTTCTCATGAAAGAGCCAAAGGTTCACCCGGATTATCTCCACGTGGTCCTTGACAAGGGACCAGGTCAAATTCTTGTTCTTGCCCGCAGTAAGAATGCTCTTTCGGAACTGAAAAACCTCGAACCAGTCCAATCCTGGGGCCTGTCACCACCACACCGGCTAATCATCGGTCAAGACTACTCTGGAGCGGTCTTCATGAGGTTGGAAACGGGCGGTGCCTTGATTGACGCTTTTTCCATGACTATTCTACTAGAAGACCTCTCTCTCGTGCTTCAGGGTCAGCCTTTGCCAGAGAAAGGGGTCTCGTACCGTCAATACCTGTCCCATTTGCGCGCCCAATCATCTTCAGAAACACTGCAATACTGGAAACAAGCGCTTTATGGAGTTTACCCTTCCCGTTTACCAAGACTACCTGCCAAGGAGACCTCCCCTCTAGCTGAATCTCGCTCGCAGAGCCGCTGCCTTCCATTTGCACAATCGAAGCGCCTAGATTCCTTCTGGCGCTCTAATCATCTGACCATCACCAACATTTTCCAGCTAGCATGGGCCTTGACTCTCACACACTATACCAATTCCCATGATGTATGCTTCGGAACCATCACCTCGGGGCGTGACACTCCCGGTCTTGAAGTGTGGAATATTGTTGGAACGTTTTTCAACGTTCTTCCGTGCCGAATTGCGATTGAACCCACGCGCACGGTGCTGGATGCCCTACGACAAAACCAGGAGGATATTCAGCGTCGAAATGATCACCAGCACTGTTCCATGCCAGATATGATTCGCAAATCAGGAATAAAACGTTTGGACAATGGCCAGGAGTTGTTTAATACAATTCTAACAGTGCAGAACCCATTCTCAGCACAATCATCTACTGGGAAAGGTGGGAGCAACGAGATCGATATCAAACTGATCGATTTGGAGGATGCGACTGAGGTGAGAGTGCCTTTGAAAGTAGAAACCCGATCAAACCGACTAATGATAATTCTTATAGTATGACCTTTGCGTGGCTATTACTCCTTATCCTTCCCACTTTAAGGTGGAATTACGCTACTGGTCGACGACCGTGTCTGAGGAATACGCTTCGGATATTCTCGATCGTCTTTTCGACCAGTTAGAACAGATTGTGAATCATGCGACCCAGCCATTAAGCGTCATCACCAGCGTTGGATAAAAAGCACATCTCTCACAACCTTCGCTAGTATTCTTTTGGTATAAATTCGGACACTGTTTTTGGTTTTTGATATTTCCACGTTTCATACTTTCCGATACTCCTAGGCTCCGCTTTTAATTGTCTTTGGATGTAATCATACAATAATCGTGCCAAGCGCCTAACACACCTTTACTGTGTTGGTGCGCCCCAGTCAACGATAAGTATCTTTTGTATGCGCGTGTCATACAAAAGGGACAAATAGTTCAAAACCCAAAAATTATATTTTTCTCAACCCGCAACATAGGTAGGGAAATCATAGGTCTATATATGTTATCTAGAAGGATTTTAGCTAATTTGGTACTAATATTAACCAGGAATATTGAGTATGAAGTAAACATTCAAGTTACAATCTTGATATATATGCTGTCTTTATAATGTGCTTCTTACACCTCTACATTATTTCGAATTAATCTTAGTTAGAACAGTCTAATAACAGATATCATATACCATGTACCACTCTTGTTTATGTTTATTTTTAACTAGTTTGAGGGTTGAGTAAAATGCAAGTTGAGAATTTGAAACCCTTTGTACCTTTTGTATGACACGCGCATACAAAAGATACTTATCGTTGACTGGGGCGCACCAACACAGTAAAGGTGTGTTGGGCGCTTGTCACGAGTACTACCAAATAATATAAAGCATCAAATAGTAGATAAAGGTTAAGAGGACTAATCAGATTCCAAGGCAATATGATATCCTAGAACTGGTCTAAAATAATAGAAGAGAAACAAGAAAACAAACACATAGACAGCCACCGACATTGTGGTCAATGGATGAAACGCCATTCGCACCCGTTTTCCATACCCGAACACGGTTCTAAGACTGGTTCCAACTCAAAACTTTGAGGGGAGTCCGTCGCGGAAGGGAAAATATCGAAAAAAAAAATCCATGTACACAAAAGAAAAGGGGAAGAAAATGGGAGAAAAAAAGGACAAAAAAAGGCAGGGGCACAGGTTGAGGGCATCAGGTCCGGACTACCGAAAATCAAACAAAAATATCGTTGCCCCATAGTTCGCTATGCCATCGCAGGAGAAAATAAACGGAAATCACATGTCCATCAGCAGTCCATCTCCTCCGAGACGTTATTTGGTGGAATTGCTTCGATGCAAGATCTGTACATTAGTCGCACTAGTACCACTGCCGACCGATCGTCGTCGCGGGCGAACCTCACTGCCGCTTCCGCTCCGTCGCCGTCGGCCAGTGCTGCGAATCGAGCCTCGGCGTCTTGTCTGGAGCAAACGAACGTTCCCACGTTAGAATCACGCTGACTATACATGGGCGGGGTCTCTTAGCAAAAGACAAGTACGAGGGCGATAGGCCAGACAAAAAAAAAAGGAAGTCGTTCGCATAGGAATGCACGTATCTGGGCAGCAAAGCAGCACGGATCAGAGATGCACGGGACTTACCGAGTTAGGGGTGCCTTCCCGGTTGGGACGTTCCTTGGAAATATCAGGATCCTCTTGCAACTTCAGGGAGTTCAATCGCTTTTGGCTCTCGTGGGTCATGGCCTCTATCTCATCGATCGACTCCGGCACGTCAAGAGGTGGCGGTGGTGGTGCGGGAATGCCATTCTTCCGATCTTTGGCCTGTTGTTCAATCACGTCCCACCGGTCCGTGCGAGTCTTTTCGCGTTGATCTGCGTTGTTCTGGTGCTCAGTGTAATCGTGAGAGCATTCATCGAAGAGCTGTGGGTTAATCTCCATGAACATCTTCATGGCATTATAAACCATGCTGTGGATTGTTCTGGATGAAGAGTCAGCTCATATCGAAGTGAGTAACACATACAAATCAAACTCACCTGTTCCAGTGTCCCTTCGAGTTCTCGTAAAGGGGCGCAAACATAAGAGGGAGAATTGTCTCCACATTGTCGCTCACAAGATTACAGAAGTACTCATTGTTCCAGAAGTACAAAGCACGTTCGGCGACCTGGAAATGGGGACTAGCAACAGACTTGGCCAACTGATTGAATAGAGGCTCCTGGACTTTGGCGAACTCGCCCGGATCCATCACCTCGAAGATGTCTTCCACCTCATTCAGGTACATAACTTCCTTGGTACTATTGGTCTTAGGCCAGAAGCGCAGTAAGCCGAGGACGACCTAGACAAAGTGGTTAGTACTCCTCAATATAGATTGGAGCAAGATACATGGGAGCTTACATCTTCAGTCAGTGAGGAGTCCTTCTCCAAAAATTGCACGATGCAGTAGGCCAACTGCGGATGGTACATGCTGAGACTCTTCACCTTGTGCATGGGCAAGAGCACTCTGGTCAAGAAGAGCTTGTGTTCCTCCTTCAGCGGCAAGGCGAATCCATTGATAATGGAGCCCAGAATCTCAAGCAATTCAGCGATTCCGTTATGGCGTTCTGTCTCGTACATAAACTGGAAGAAGACATTGTTGATAGATCGGCGGATATATGACCGCAAGTTCAAGAACTTTCCATAGATGCGATGCAGAGTTGTCTTGAGGAAGTCACGTTCCCGAGGATCTTCCGAGTCAAAGAGGTCCAACAACTAGATGTAGCATTAGCCTGCATTAGACAATAAAAAAACAAGCACCAGGAGACATACTGAAAGCACAAACTGATGGTCGATATAACCCTTTGCGATATTCGTGTTGAAATCCTGGCTTTCGATGAATCTCAAGAAAAATTCATATACAACCTGAATATGAGGCCAAGCGACTTCCAAGACGGGCTCATCCTCCTCCGGGTCAAATGCTTCGCCCTGGGGCGTCATAGGTGGAGGAATAGGACGGAAGAGATTCTTGGCGAACATCTCAACCACGCGGGGGTACATGGACTCTGTAATTACCGACCGATTGTTGGCAACATAATCTAAGAGTTCGTGCAGCGCTAGCCTCTTGATCTCCTTGGACTTCATATCGGCCGTCGGGTCGTTGAAATCGAAGATGATATTGCACTGGTCGATCTTTTGCATGAACAAATCTTGGCGCCGGTTGGGAGGCACTTCGTGGAATCCCGGCAACTTCTCCAATTCTCTCTGGCGCTGATCGGAGATGTCGAATCGCGACGAATGTTGACGTTTGGGAGTCCGGATACCTTCCGACATGTCCTTAGGAGTTGTCTGTAGACGGTCGAAGACATGAGACTTCCTAGGGGGTGCGAGATCTCCGGGCATCGTTTCAGCCGCGCCAGGAGGGGGAACATGCTATAGAGCCCAATCGTTAACAAATGCAAACAGTCACCAAGGTGTGAAACGGCTGAACCTACCGGTGCACTTGGGCTAATGATGACGCTGGGAGCCGCCGGTTGGCCTTGCCTATTCGGAGTTCCCGGTCCATTGCTTACAGGCTGTCCTGCGACGCCCGGTTGAGGTATATAGTGTTGAACCGGGGTACCAGGGTGAGGTGCGCCCGCAGAAGGGGTTCCGGCGGGGGGAGCGTTGTCTGGCGATTTGTTTCGCGAGTCATTGAGAGAGGTTGTGGAGGATGTGGGTGTCCCTTGGTTGGGGGAAGTGGATTGCTGTGTGTTGGAAATTCCGAGGGACTGATTCTGTGGGGTGGAGTTGGAGTCTTTCTTTTTCGAGGACTTGTTGTCTTTCGCCCGCGACAACTGGTCGTGCTAGAAGAAAGATACACCATGTTAGATTATTTGTAAAATGGATAAGAGAGCACCACGTGCATGGCGAGGAAAGGGACAGATGGGCAGGTGGGATCGTGTGGTGAGGTGCACTTGGGCAGGAGACGCAGGTAACTCACCACTCTCTGTCTGAAACCCTTCATTTTGGCGTCTATGTAGATGGCCACATGTACTCGGCTAGGTTTCTTGGTGCCAGTGCAACCAGGCGCCGCACTCTAGCCGGAGTGAATCGAGGAAAGTCGACGGAGATAACCGCTCAGGAAAGCCACGAGGGGGGGAAAGGTGTTTGGATCGACCTAATAGGAGAATCATAAGCGGTCCGAGTCACACAGCATGTAAGACAGGTATTTCGAATGGAAACGGGTCTGAAATGTTGATATCAAGCCCCGGCAATGTGTAGAGGCGAAGCTGAGGTTCAATGGCAACAACACCAGGCGCTCCAAACAATGTGCAGTCGCAGCACGCGCACGGGGCAAGGCAAGTCGATGCTGGGAAGAAAGGGCCAATATGGGAGACAAGTGTCCGCTAAAACGTACCTCCGTAGATCTGAGTTAAACAATTGACAGGTCGAGTGGGAAACTACTTGGGGAGAGTAGGTGTTATAGGACGAGCTTGGTCGGCGCTGGAGGGTCTCCGTGTCGCTTAGTGGCAGGCTGGGAGCGGGGGGTTTGGGAGCACCAGAAGAATGGGGACTTAGGTTGCAGCCCACTGCGAAAGCACGAAAATCGCGATCTGACTAGCAAGATACAAAGTCGACGATGTACCAGAGACCAAATAAAGATGATGGCGTTGGGTTGCGGAGAGGAGGGAGGGAAGTGGATTGTTGTTGAGGTGTAAGGAAAGGCGGGCTGGTTCTCCTGGCTGCGATGGTGATGGGAGGGGGGCATCACGCCCAGTACTATGTGGGCGACTCTACTTTTTTTAAGTGATCTAGACCTCTTCGTGCTTTAATTTGAGAGAATGAATTTACTCGACTATACCATTTTCCCCTTCTATCTCCTAAGACAACTTTCGTATGCTTTTTCCCGCTTGTTTCAAATGGGGCTTATGTCATGATCCACGTGACCTCCAGGGGACTCTGATTTCAGGCACGGACACAACGTCACTAAGGACATTTAGGTATTGAATGCGTGCTGACTGATATTCTAAAACTGGATATATCCCTTTGAGTCCAGCAAGATCAGGCTTCTAGGGATATAGGGAGATATACCTACGGAGTACAGAGTACGGATATGTACATATAGAGAAGGTCTGTGCTCTTTGACCCACCTCGCCACACCTGACCAACAGAGCTGACCACATAAGCTGAGGCACCTGCGGGCATGAGAGTTGAATCCGTCAGGAAATTCCTACTTTGTACTCAGAACAACATATAATAAAAATCAATAATATAGCACATAATATGGCACATAATATTAAAGTCCAGGTGCAAAATCATCTGGGAGATGTGGAAATATATATCCCTACATTTCTTCTGTAATCAATTATATCCTATACACTCAAGCTTGGTGTCCTTTTCTATTTTTTGTGCTTGGTCGATATGATTCTAAATAACAATTGCATGTACAATTAAAGCGAGGTAGCCATAGCCTATATTCATTATACCCTCACTATCAAAACACGCTCAAATTACCATCACTCTCAGATCACTCTAGAAGCATGATCAGCTATATTGTGGGTATAAAAGATCATTCGTAGAGTGATGATAATCATCTCTACGTTGAAAGCAGTTAGATGGGGTTCCAGAGAAAGCAACTTGCTTCTCAAAAAGTATACATAGTCATTCTTCTTTGCAATTGCCATATTTGCTATTCCCTGTAGTTTGTTTGTCTACTGGCGTTTTGTTTCCCACCAGATCTTATTTGTCCACTGTTTTCCACTCTTCCCATTCCTGCCAACCACTCTTTCACACTTGGATCATCATCCAATATTATTGACTCTCCTAAGGGGAAGCACCACCATGCCTCCGAAGACTACCTCTTATGATCCGGACGCTGAATCTTCGGACCCAGAGACACCACGCAGCTTGCTTCTCAAACCCCTTCACCTGGTCACCCCCTGGTGCCTGCAATGTTTTTGTACTTCACTTCGCAACTGGGACTACGGTCTGCCCTTTGAGCCGGATTGCTGGTCTGACACTGTTGTATCCAAGCTATGCAGTCGTTGTAGTTCAACCCACGGCAAACGTGACTCGGTATATTCTAATGCCCCTGGAAATAATCATCACATAATAAATGCTAATATCGCCTGTGTTCTTCCGTAGATTTACCGGGGCATTCGGGGCCATGTTTTCGAGTTGATGGCCTTGCTTGAGTTCGTAAAGCAATACTGGGTCAACAACCATGATGGATTTGGTAAACCAGACATTGCAGATTTTGTGTGGCTAGAACCGTTTATCCGCAGTATTCCCACTGCAGTCCATGACCTCTGTCTTGCATTTGATAACCTGGCCGAGGCGCATGGCAAGGCTCATTTGTTGATAGGAACTAATGTCTCTGATGCAAGTTTTGTTCTATCATTCATATAGTCTTTGCTAACGTGTGGATAGGGTGCCAAAGCTGCCTACTCTGCCTGGTGCAATGCCAGAGAGCATGCAATCTATCCCCACAGACTGATTCCTGAAAACCTGCATCAGAAGTATGCCTTGTATGCCACAGAGCATCTCCGTCTCAGATTGGGGGAAGAAACACAAATCCACTGGGCCGCCGCGCTCTATGCCTTCCATGATACTGTTGAAGAGACTATTAGGAACCATTACACTAACCAGAGCGATGAAGATGGCACAGACACCGATTTATTAAATGTGTTGATCGATTTCCAGGAAGGATTCCCTCTGCAGCTTCTGGAGCTTTAAACTAAATTCCTTGTTTTGCCTAACAATTTGTGATGGGCTTTCATGATTGCATCGCCTGGTATATATCCTGGTGTATATTGATAATTTGCCTTCTTGATGAGGATTCTTGGAAATGGCGTGGTGAGATCCAAACTTTTCTGATGTTTTCTCGTTGAGTACTTTCTACAATCAAACTCAAAGTGATCTGTATTCTTACTAGGCGAAGACATAATGTTTAGTACAAAACCATGTCGATAGTACACAAGTTTGCAACGCTTAGAGGCCAGAATGAAAATACCATACATAGATCTGCGGTATCTCAGGACAGTATGTACGTTGTGCCATTCAAAGGAGCGACTGATAGCAACCTCAGTCCGCCCGCGTGAGTACGATAGATATTATTAATACATTGATATACTCAAGAAATTTTACCCACTCTCCTTATCTGCCGGGTCACTACCGGCGCCTTGGTCTTTGGACTTGTCCAAATCTATACAATCTTATTGAGATAATATTAGAGCTAGCGGCAGCACGGCTATTAGGGCTCTCCTTAAGCTCAAGCGCGTGCTTGCTACAGCACTACTACCGACACTAGTAGCTGTACTTTCTGCAGCGTAGGTATAGTAAAGACTAGCAGCTGTCTGCGTGCCCAAGCTATCAACAGCAGTGGTCGTCGGCACACTGGCCGCCGATTTCTTCGACCACTGTTCTGCGAAAGGATAGAATCCTGTCGTTTGAGGATTGGCGCTACAGTAGGCGCTGGAGACCCCATTCATGTAACTCTCTGGGAACCAGTGGTAGCCTATATAGAATTTAGCCTTTTGATTAAACCAAGAGAAAGGCAGAGTGTCAGGATATGCTGTGGGGAAGACCCACCCTCAATGCCCCCGTGCTTTTTGAAACATTCCTGACAACCAGCCGCCGAGTCAAAGAAAGGATATATGTCACAATAGCATTGCTGCTGAACGTCCCAATCGCCTGAATATTCTTGAAGGCCCGAAAATGTGCCGTTTGTGTCTTGGAAGCGGCAATTAGTATTAATCGCCGCTTGTCGTTTACACGGAGCTTCGTTGATTAGATAGGTGGGCTTGGGGGAGATGGTTGTAGTCGCGTCATCCCGGCGGAGATTGTAGTGCCGTGACGGGTTGAACGGCAGGTAGCATGCATCAAAGAGATCCGTGTCAAGGTCGGTGAGACCAGAGTCCTGGGATGAGACGAGGTAGAACCTGGAGATATAGACACCGTTTGGGAACACAGGGTATTGTTCGGAGCCGGTATATGAAGCGGCCGTGCTTGAAGATGTGCTGGTGCCAAAGAGGGAGTCGTATTCGTAGGATGAAGTGGTTATCGAGGTAGAGGCAGTCATAGCCATAGTTATGGGCGAAAGGGGCAATTTGTTGAGATTACTTCCAACCCTGGAAGAGGACCGCGGGAAGAATGCTTGGCAATAATTGACCAATCAGATCTCTTGGCTTTTAGAGTTGTCCTGCCTAGGTGGTTAGTGTTGGCTTGGCTGATCTGACCACTGTGCAGCAAACATAATTGAAAGCATGGCTGGACTTTGAGACCCCTAGTTTTGTGAAATATTGGTTCAAGCTAGGTCGATAGGCTATTCAATGTTAGGGGGTTCAAATATGGCTGTTTCTTTGTATCTTCTAGAGGGAAAAATCTGCCTGCCAGCTCTCGTTGTATACTAGATACCTCTTCCTCGCCTTGATTGGTGTCGTAGAAGGAAATATTTACCTACCAAGGTAAGCGGCTGGGTTCGATGGATAGAAATTATATCATTGATCTCTAACCCATAGCCCTATATCCAAAAGTGAGAATTTGAGAGCATGTCTTCTAAATTCGCGACTGACTCTGAAATAGCAAAATATAAACTAATCATTTTCTTGGCCGCTAAGTTTACCTAGTAGGGTGTTGAACGGTAACCCACGCCTCCCCGAGTAATTCTTTTGCTGTCTGGCGATCATCAGGGTCGACCTTCATCATGCTCCTCAACAACGTAACGAACTCCGCCTTGTCATTTCCCGTCAGACTCTCAATCCAGTTTTCTAGGAGGGGTTTTGGCCGAGGGATAGGATCAGAATGTTTCCTTGGTCATCGGAATATTCAGCTACGCGCTTTGGGTCCCCTTGCGCTAGCAGATGAGGAGGGAATGGTCCAAAAAGGGCCACTATTTCTTCGAGATGATGCTTGGTTTGGAATATGCGTCCAGTTCGTTTTGCTCGACCATCGAACATTCGCACCGCATCTAGGACCTAGAGTAAGACAGCAACCAGATCCCAGATATCGACGGGTGGTCCCCATGGGGCTCCGATAATGACTTCCGGTGCTCGAAGTAACACAGGTTGTATAACTTCTGTAAGATGATTGTCAATCTAGCTGGCGACCCCAATCGCAAAGAGCAACATCAAGGGTCATCAGATCGGTGGATTCTTGGATATAAAAGTCCCTTAAAGGTTGAGACATAATGACTGAAGGATCAGAGCTAGGGTTGTAAGCCACAGGGTCCGGAGTCGTGTTCCTTAGGTAATCGTCAATGATTGAAAGCTCTGGAATTTGGACCATAATATTCCGCGGTTGGATATCTGTGCTTTTTCTCAGCGCTCAAGTTCGCTTTCAATTTGAGATTGGAATACCTGTATGGATGACGCCCGATCGGTGTGCATGATCTATGGCGAGAAGGAGTTGCTGGCCAAACCGTTGCACGATCGAGCTTGGGACCTGATCATTGGCAAATAACATGCCAAAAGTCCTTAAGCTCTCTCTCATGGGCTCCAGTATAAGACATAGATGGTGGCAATTTGGACCAAGGTGTCTAAATGAATCAAAAAGCGTGGGGATGTGTCGATATCCCTCATGTTTCGGATCCGAGTCGCGTAACTGTTTGAGTGACCCCCAGTTCGAATATATCTTGAGACCCACCGTAACACTCTGCGATGAGGACTTTCAAAGCGTTGTAGCAGCCAGTCCTAAAAGATCCAGATAATCCGAGAGAATCCCATCGAAAGAATAGTGATAGTCGTCTCGCCTTTGATTCTTCACTAGCCATACTGTCGAGTACCGACCGTAACCAAGCTTTCTGAGGACCTCATAGCGACAATGAAAAATATCACCGAGGTGAACAGGATGGGATCCACCGAGTCAGTAAAATTCGCGGTCTTCTTCAGAATGGTACCCAGCCATCACTATGCAAATCTCGACTGGCGGAGGATTTTGCCAAACTTTGGAGAGGCGAGGCAGCAGCGATCGAGATAGTACAGCCCTGGATACTGAGGTAGTGTGACGAAACATCGAGAAAATCTACCAGACGCGACACATTTTCTTTCACATGATATCAATTGAAAATTAGTGTTTATGGGAAACCGGCGAGGAAAGGGGACATAGGGGACATAGGGCACGGAACATGGATGGATGGTTCAATTTCACTCTAGTTTTGTCATTGTGTAGTGGAATTGCAGACAATATGATCGCGGGGTGGGTTCCACCTGTTTTCATAGAGGGTTATGACCTTACTCTCAGAAAGAGAAAGTGCCAGATAGCTTCATTGTCTCCTGTCCTATTTCTTTCGCCACTTCCTAGTTTCTTCAGAGCCTGCAATTTCAGCTCTTGTGAAGATGTATACTTGCTCAACCTATTTTGGGTCTTTTAGATGTCAATGAAACCAATTTTCTTGACATATTTCCAAGAGTGCATCGTCTTGTTGTCAGCCCTTTGTAGTCTCGACATCCAATGGATCGCGGCCAACCTGCCCAGGTGGGGAATCGAGGCGATGAGTCAACGGAATTCCCCCCTGGGCGCACTAACCGCTTGTGGAATGTACACTCGATTCTTTTCCCAAACCTGAGAGATATCACTGAGAGCCTTGAATTGTAGGCCAGGCAAAGAAAAACATAGAATCCCACACTGACAGGTGTATTGAATCAATAGCACTGGAGAAATGTGGCTGCATTGGCTTTGATCGTATTTGCGCAATCCCACCCGATAGCAAACCTGACAACGACAATCAACATCAATTGAGACTGAAAGCTGATACCAACGATATCGCAAACACATTATCCACAAGTCTGATATAAAACCCATCAGTATGGACGACTATCGGGGGTCTAGGACTGCTCCCTTCTACGCAGTGCCATCCCATCGCCTCGTCAGCGTCGAGCACCCTGCTGTGATCCGCAATGTCGATAAGGCGATAGAGACCTTACAAGGCGACACAGGAATAAAAACAGTGAGAAATCTGTTCCCTCTGAGAGAATATCGAATATTGAATACATACTGATATATTACAGATCTTGAACCCGGCCAAAGACGGCACACTAGCTAATCTGGTGTTGCGGCCAGAAGATGCTATGGCTCGATCGGTCCAGTCAACGAGCATCCAATCAAACAACGTTCTTCTCAAAGTCACTGTCCCTAAGCGGACAGGACGGAAGCGCAAGATAGGCTCGAACGAGCCTTTCACATATGTACCGGAGTCTGAAGCATCCGAGCCGCCCCCGCGACGGACCGCTAAGGATCTCTTGCGCAGTCTGAGTGATAACCCTTCCAAGTATCAGATTGAGCCAGTTGGGAGGGTTGAACGGACACATGTGTTCCGAGGTAAGTTCACTACTCCGATAATCCATTGCGAGTTTGCTAACGTCTGATATCAGGAATACCTGATTTCGTCTACTCGACTACAGCGAGTTCCTTTACGAACCGCTTCCGAGACCAAATTCTTCCATTTGACTGTGAGTCCGCCTAACATGCACCTCATTACAAATGTACTAACGAGCGACAGTCGAAAAAATGAAGCAATTTGATATCGACATGGCCAAAGGCACCACTAGTACCGCAGATCTTATCCCGCCGCCATCGTTCAGCCACGGAGACGTCCCATTCCACTATATGTAAGAGCCACCGCACCCAAAACACCAAGCCAAGACCACCAGACCACTAACCTCTCCCTCCCAGCTACCGCCAAAACCCAACAGTAAAACAAGCAATCGGGCGCTCGGGAAAACTAGAAACAGTGAACACCCAAACTGCCAACAAAATCCTAACCCACCTAGTCCCGTACGACGTACCCGTTGTCCCATCAGAGCCACGCCCAAATATGCTCCCAATGAGCGCCCTGGACCCAGGCATGCACCGAACAATCGCGACACTAAACGCCTTGTACGAAAAACAGCCCGCCTGGACCCGCCGCGGTCTCCGCAACAACCTCACAACAGACGAAGACCGTTTGAATCTCCGGCACGCGATTCCGTACGTGGGCTACATCTTCCGCTCCGGACCATGGCGCGATGCAATCATCAAACTCGGTGTCGACCCACGCACCTCACCAGAGTATCGATACTACCAAACATTCATGTTTCGGCTTCTGGCACGAGAAGCCGAGCTCGCGCGCGACGGAGGCGGCGGCCGACGACATAATGTTCCGCGACCCAGCGACCAGCGCGGTGGCGAAGACGAAGGTGCCAATGGGCCGTCGACGGGTCATATATTCACTGGCAAGCAGCCGTTTGCGCAAGACGGACGGATCTGGATGGTGGGCGAGATCAAGGATCCCCAGCTTGTAAATGACTTGTTTCCTGCTGATCCGGGGCCTGGATTCCTGCGCAGCGAGTGCGATATTGTTACTGACGGGTGGTTTGGGAATGGCACTCTTGCGAAGGCGAAGACTGTTATGCGACATAAGATTCAGGCGTTGATGGAAGGGCGGGAGCCGGATGATCAGGATTATGTGAGGGTTATGCAGCTTCCTGCTCATGCGAAATCTGAGGCTGATTTCCCGCTTTTCACGCTTGATCCTGAGGTGGCGACGCAGAAGGAGATCACGCTTGCTACGGAGGTTCGGGCGATCATTCGCAGTTCGCCGGTTTGGAGGAAGTTGTCGGCTAATGCTGGGTTGGTTCGGAGGAATGTTGGGGAGGGGAGAGGGAAGGTAAAGGGGAAACAGGCTTTGAAGGGGAAGAGTGTTGAGCGGGAACCTGAACCTGAGCCTGAGCCCGAGCCTGAGAAGGCCGACGAGGAGAGTGAAGGTGAAGAGGAAGAGATCCAGCGGAGGGAGATGCTGGCAGCTCAGGTTGCAGATGCTGCTGCGGCGAGGGATGCCGATGAAGCCGCTGACGACGATGACGATGATAGTGATGACATGGATGAAGATGAGGATGAGGACGAGTAATCCGGACTCCTAGGTTATTTGAGGATTTGCTACGTCTAGAAAAATTGTACTTTATGCTTAAGATAGTCATCAAAATAAGTCATCAAAATAATCATTGCTAAAGCTATGGGCAGACTTGGAATACCTCGTGCAGCATCGGACATAAAACAGGCAACAACTCATCAATTACGCAGGATAAAGAAAGTCAAACTGAGTGGTCATAATAGTAAAGCAAAAAGGATACATAATTCGTAGCAAGCGTTATACCAAAATACCTAATAGACTGAACACCAGTGTCCAAAAATAAAGAGACAAATACTAGGCAGCGAAAAAAGATAAACGCCAAACAATAAAGCAAATAGGTATACGTATTGGGGCCAAACCCAGGCCAAAGAACAGCGCCAGCGAACCAGATGCAGATGCAATGCACGGAATGACGAGCAGGCAGATCAAAAAGCAGACTTGGTGCTATCAGTTGAGTCCTCGTGATTTTGGTGCCGGGTATCAGCAGCCCGGGAAGTAACGCCATCCAAAACAGAAGCAATGGAGGTAGTGATAAGGGCCTGGTGGCTCTGCGAAAGAGGCAAAGAAGGCTTCTTGAACTCAGGCGCGTTCTCTTCGTCATCATAGACGATTGTGTATGAGAAAGCATTGCAACCCTCGGGATAATATTCAGCAGCATTGAGCTCACCGAGCGGAGCACGGGGCTCATCCATCATGGGTGACTTGCGGGCGGCAGCAGGGACAGTTGTAGTGGAATGGCGAACGCGGGGGAGATCAATGCCCAATTCGTGAGGGGGGATGTTCTCCTTCCCACGGGGGCAGGGGTTGGACTTTCCCTCATCGTCGCTGATATCCAAGACAGTGGTTGAGTGCTGCATCAGATTGGTCATTTCCTCCTGCTCAGTGTCGACGTGAATATCGAAGGCCCACGAGGCAGGGGCCTTAGGAGCGGGCGCAGGCTTAGGAGTTGTGGATTGGGCGAGAGCGGAGGCAAGAGAGAAGGGACGAGCGACGCCGCGCTTGGTATATTGCTCTGGGCGGGGCTTGGCGATAAGCGAACGGCGAGTGGCTGACTTGCTTGACTTTGGTGGTGGGGAGCGACCAGCGGGCTTGAGAATGGGAGCTGATTTGGGAGTTGTAATGGAGATCTTTGAAGGGGTTGAGAGACGAGGGGAGATGTTGATGCGTGCAGAAAGAGCCATGCGGGACGTTTTGATGGGCTTGGACGCGCTGTCCTCGTCGTCTTCGAAGGTACGCTTGCGTTTTGTAGAGAAACTGGCAGGATTGATGTTCTCTGAATTGGTGTCGATGAAGATAGACCTCTTCATTGGGGTGGACTTCATAGACTTCATAGACATGGCACCTGGGATTGTGAGCTAGACCATCTTCGGACGATCAAAACATGGATCGTCACGTACCATTTTGTTGGTTCTGACGATTAAGTTTCGATCGCATCAATGGCATCGTGTTCAAACAGCCCAAAGGCTGACGAGTAGGAGTCATAGTGAGAGTGGCCATGGTGAAGGAGGAAGAAGGGATGTTTTGTTTTGGTCAGCGCTAAGTGGGGGACCTCGGATTGGCGGTCTACAATAGGCACTAGGCAGGCCGATCGCAAGATTCAAAGAGAAAGATGATAGATGTAAGAACAGATGAATCAAAAGAAAATATAATGAATGATTGGAATTGGTCGGATGGAATTCAGATGAATGATGGAATGGGTAGAATATGGTCGACTACACCGTTGAGAGAGAGCACGAGGGATGATTCGTAGAAGACGTGCAGCGATGAGGTAAATATAATAAACTTGGGCGTTATGAGCTTAGTATTAGAGGGCTTTAGAGGTAAGGAGCAATGGAGGACATGAGGAGTCACAAATGGAGGGAGAAGGAAACTATTTCAAGGCCTGCATACTAAAGCGCGTCGCGTTCACGTTGTGGAGGCCGGATGCCAATTTGAAAAAGTGGCGTTTATGCAATTCCCAGCACAATCCAATTGACGGGTTTCATTCTTGTTCCTCGTGTCTCGTGTCGGAACAATGATGCGGATCTCTACGCGCTTTTCCATACAGAGTATGATGTGGTATTCATATCACAGCGCTTCAGTCCTACGACGTTGTACATAATTAATTCCTAATTATTCCTAATTTCCCTAGAATTGCTCATAGAAGTAAATTAGTAAATCCTTACTCAGATCACCGGGGCAAAAGACCAAAACCTCAATTCCCCCTGCTGAACACTACATGGTCGCGTATCCCTTGAACGCGTCGGTCAGCAGCCTAAGTACCCGGTACTCGGAATCCCGGCACTAGCGCATACACCGCGTAAGTACTAAATACCTCCACATCCACGTCTTGCACGTTCCTTCGCGCGCGACTTCGCGTTCATGTCTCTTCCTTGCACATTGTGCCCTCATTCGCGACGAAAAGCGTCTACAATTGCACTAGAATTATGTTGCATGAAATATCTAATAAAACTTTGCCAACGCATCTGTTTCCATTGGCTATCCCCTATCCGGACTCAGGCTACCAGATGAAACCATGCATGCACAGGCCGATCGGGAGTTGCTGGAGTTTGAGGTGAATGTGGAACATTGAACGGAGTACCATCTCAGGGTAAGGTTTGGAGGTGTCTGGATATTTCTGGGGGTGTCGCACATTCAAGGCTGGGGAATGTACTCTGCGCTAGCTATCCAGGTGGTTCAATGTAGGAATTCGCCCTCGAAGACCGTCCCAAGGTTTAAATCTCAATAATGGAGGGATATTAATAGGGATACTATTACACACAGGTTTTCCAAGGTTTGATAGCATCTGCACCCCCCTCCCCCCCTGTTCCTCGTGGGCTCGGATTATTTTCCCTCGGCGTATTAATCCTAAGGTTGTTGCATTCCTTACGAAAGCTGAGAGCCTATCCTTTGTGCCATTGACGTACAATCATGCCAGCATTCTACTACAGGCAGGAAATGCCGACCGGAATAGTCCACATAATTTCTATTCTCTCGTGATATAATATTGTACATGATCGCAGACTTTCCGCGTTAATTACCTCAGATCTCATCCTCAAAAGGAATGCTATCCATAGCACCCTGATGTTCCACAGCCCGAGCCGAGGCACGCGCAGCCAGGCGCATCGCCTCGTCCATGACAGTCTTGTACCGGTATTCTTTCTCATCATCGGCAACCTCCTGCCCAGCCTTGCCTTCCGCGCGACGCTGCTCACGCTCCCGTGCCACCCTGACCGCATAGGCCCCAACAAACGTATCACCTGCGCCAGTAGTATCCAATACCTGAGAGACAGGGGCAGCTGGAATGTCGTTAGTGAAGCGCTGAACTCCATCACTGGGTCCAGATGAGCCGGCATCTGCGGCACTGTACCAAACACCTTTCGCTCCGAAGGTGATGAGAATGTAGGTGACACCCAATTTGTGGAAATACCGAGCGACCTTCTCCTTCCCATCCAAGCCCTCAGCGTCCGGAACTGTGCGAAGCAGTTGCTCCGCAGGGGGAGTCATCAACTCAGCCTCCGTCTCGTTTAGGATTAAATGGTCGACAGCAGCGTATACATCCTCGGGCAAACCGCCGGGCGGCGCAGGTGCCGGGTTGAGCATAACATCCGGACCGCATTCAATGCCTTTTTTGCCAGCAACACGAGTCTTGGCCTTATAAGCTGCGATCTCACGTAGTGTGCCAATAATCGTCTCGACTGGGATCTCGCTCTGCATAACGATAACATCGGGTACGGGCGCTGCTAGCGCCATACCTAGCACATCAGGGGTAGGCTGCATGCCATCGTAATTTGCACCGGGCGAGAAGAGAATGCGATTCTCGCCACCCGCCGAAGAGTCCACGATGATCACTGCCATGCCCGTGTATGCGTTGTCGATGACTTTCACTCGGGATGGATCGACTCCGGATCTCTCGAGGGTCGGTTTAAGTAAAGCGGAGAAGTGGCCGTCTAGGCCACCCACTGCGCCCATCATCTCGACATTGACGTTGCTTGTGGAGTTTGTGGTGCCTGTTGACTTGGCTCGAGACATGCGCCCGCATGCCACGGCTTGGTTTGCGCCCTTGCCGCCCGCACTGGTGAAGTAGGATGAGGAGGTGATTGTCTCGCCTGGGTCTGGGAACCTAGGTGTGACTGAGACCATATCTGCATTGAGGGATCCAATGACTCGGATGAGAGATGCCATGGTGAAGAGGGTGGCTGGGTTCGGTTCATGGATTGCAGGTCGGGGGCTGGCTGTGTCTTTGGGTCGGGCTGGGGAGATGTGAAAAGCATCGGAGTGGTATAAGTCGGAGCTGATGTGGATTTTAGCAGATCCCAAAGTTGCAGATCGCAATAAAGGCGACAAGGTGACTTTTCAGAATCTTCGGACAGGTAATTGAGAGACAGCCGTGTAGGTGAAAAAGAATTGGAATGACGTCTGGGCGGGGCACGCCGGAAGATGTGGGGCCGACGCCACTGTTCCGTGGATCCGATCTACAATGGGCAGCCACGTCTATTTTGACAACATACATACTATACCATCTAGAAAATTGAACAATGGGCCTCTCTTTTTCAAAGGAACTTTTATTCATATTCAATTCACCATTCGACTGTAACAGTCAGGATTTCTCACATTCGTTGCAAATGAAAAGCGAAGATTGGCTGCTCGACGGGACAGATTGGCTGAGGAGGTGAGTGAGTGGTGGTAGATTGGCTGCTAGACTGGGCCTCCCCGCCTTCTTAGTCACTTCAGCTTGAGGCGGCTAGGATTTTAATAACCAGTAGAGCCCATGAATAGGGCCCATGCACAGGAAATCATACTTTTACTGTGTTGTCGGAAGTGGGAGGAATGAAGAAACAAGGAGAAAAAGAAAGAAAACACTCATCGCAAAGGTATCAGGCAGACCCCTACCATTTTACAGACAGTATGAGCTTCTTTGGGAGAATTAGCCACTGAACTATACGGGATGCTTACTAAAGATCTAACTTTGCGTCAAATATGAGGATCCCATTGTTCCCTTTGGAGCGATATTTACGCACTCATAGTATATTGGATCATATTACGCATTTCAGTATATGTATATGTCACTACTAACACCATACTGATACCTACTAGGTAGTCTATCATATACTGGAAGTGAGGACAGTATGATCATTAGTAATTTTATATCGAAACCTTTGAAGCAACTTAATGATTTCATAGAGAAAGTATTTAACTCATGCCAGATGTATTACTACTTTCTCTTTGGCAGGGAATACTGGTTGTCGTGGTAATTTCTAAACCTCTCGTATCTAAGCTAAATAGCTACCCTCACCGTCGATCAGCTACATACTGCAGGACCTATGGCAAGGAATAGACCGCTGAGCTATATAGGAATTTCTGTGCAGAGCTGTATGTTTTGATCAGACTTAATAGACACATCGCCAATAAAGAAGCCTATTAGGTATATTATATTCATCTCCCTATCAAATTTTATAGCCTGTATATTAGCCGTTTAAACCCCTCACTTCTCAGTTCAATCTCACTTCTCAGTTCAATCTCACTTCTCAGTTCAATCTCACTTCTCAGTTCAATCTCACTTCTCAGTTCAATCTCACTTTACAGAGCACAAAAAGAATGAAATGAAAGGAGACCCTCCGACCCTCCGACCCTCCGCTCTTCCCTTGTTTTTATTACTCTCGGGAGGACCGTGTATTCGGTCACCAACTATTCTCTCTACCACAACTTGAATAACTACTGAGAAGACGGCTTATTGTGTATGATAAACTATTGAGCTATACAGGCCTCCCATGGCACACCTTGTGTTCAAGTCAAACACGCAGAACCAATTTAACCATATCGGGAGACATATTTGCTCATAATGTCACATTACATGTAACATTTGAAATAGTATCATTCTACATATATGTATGCTCCTACATACCTATGCCATCTTGAAAAAGATATACCAAGCTACCGAATATTAGAAGTAACTACAATATAATTATGCTTTACTGGTTCTTAAATCAGCACCTGGTCATAGTAATCTCACAACTCAGTTATGATGTCAAACAATCATGTGTACATTATACATTGTGAGGCCATGGATACGCAGTAGCGGAGCATGGGGGGATATGAAAGGCTAGGTGAGGAAAATGTGATCATCAAACAAGGTCATTCTGGTCCCGGCCAGTCTTTGTCTGGTGACCATTGACTTAGTTGGTGTTGACCCAGATGTTGCTGTCTTTAGCATGCGCAAATGTTGCGCCTTTCTCAACATTGCATCTCCTGCTGTTCTTTTGGCAATCGAATCCGTCGCTTCATTACCAGGAACCCCAGAATGATCTGGGCTCAAATGTAGCTCGACGTGGACACCGAGCCTGTAAAGTGTCTCGGAATGCGAGCTGATTTTTTTCATTTGCCTTGCAATCTCTCCCTTTGGGGGATATGCCAGCAATCTATCAATGCATCAGAGTGCATTGAAGTCATCAGTAAATATGAAAAGCTCCTTGGTCTTATTGTGGCAGTGGGAATATGTCTCCGATAGATGCTGCTGGAAAAACACCTTGTCAACTGGGTGGCTTTGCGCGATGGTGGCTCGTCCCTTGTCTATGTTGTTAATGACCATCTCCAGACTACATGAAATTGCAAATAACTCGACTATGGCGCTGTTGTCAGTAGCCTGGCGATAGTGTACGCCCTTTGCTTGCCACTTGGGAGTGCCGGAGCTTTCCTGCTAGACAATGCCGGCTGCACCACATTCTGAACAGATAGATCTATCGCAAAAGTATGTGATTTGTTTGAATACTTGTGTTGGGATTGAGAGCTGGTAATTCTTTTTCACAATATTCTTGGTGGTATCGCCATTCACATGGAAGACAAACCCTGCGAACTCGTGTCCGAGCTGCCTAGAGACCTTGTTATTTTGCTTGTCCTGGAGCCTTTTTCTCTGCCTTTTTTGGGATAGAGGAAGACCAGCTGGTTGGTCATCAACTGAAAGGTGTTTCTGTTTGCGACTGGGCTCGCTATTTACATGTGCAGCCACCTGTGGGTCTTCTCCCAGATTGGGCTTAGGTGAGGGGCTCAAGTATTGGACTTGACGACGCTGAACTCGTTTTTGCATAAATCGTGTAAGCTCTGACTAATGGGAAGGATGACTGGAAATATAATGGCTCGAGAATAGGGCCTCCTCCACCTTCTCGGTAACTTCGATTTGGCTTTCTGGGGATGGCGAAGATTGTAATAAAGAGTAGAGCCCATGGATAGGGCCCGACGCATAGAAAATCATACTTTCACCACGTCATGGGAAGTGGGATGAATGAGAAAACGTGGGAGAAAGAAGGAGAAGAAGAAAGCAAACCACTCGTCGCAAAGGTATCAGAGTCAGATCCTACCATTTTTGGGCTACAAAAATTTGCTCAGTTTGCTGTAGTGGGATCTACGTTGCATTACCGCCCCTTCAACCAGTCCGAGTATTGTCCCTCTTCGTTTATATATCTGTATTTCGAGTGGTCTTTCGAGTGGTCTTTCTGGTTGTCCTTTTGGAAGTTCTTTCTTTGCAGATACCCTTTTTCGGTGGCTATTTCTAGATATCTTCTAAAAACGAAGGTTTTTGAACGTAGGTCCCCCTAAACTAGACCCAGGCGATGAGTTATAGGATCGGATACGCCGGTGATAAACTCAGCCACCTATGGGGTGCCGGTAATTTGGTGGTGTCTGATCAATTACAGCGTTGATGCGAGGCTTCTAGCCAGACCTACCCATAGGTTCACCCAGAGGTTCGGCACTAGGCTAAGTAGCATATTCTATAGTGGACTTAATAAGAGGTTCAACAACGGGCCCTGAAGTAGATTCGGGGGGAGACTCAGGAGGAGACCCAGGAGGAGGCCCAGGAGGAGGCACAGGAGGAGGCACAGGAGGAGGCCCAGGAGGAGGCCCAGGAGGAGGCCCAGGAGGATGCCCAGGAGGAGGCCCAGGAAGAGACTCGGAGATAGACTTACCGAGAACCCCAGCAAGAGACGGGCTGGGTGACTCGCTCCGCGGGAGGCCCAGTGAGCAGCCTAATAGTGTTGCACGGGCTCATCATTTCGGTGTCATTTGCATGACTTGTGATCCATAAAAGGATCAGACAACAAGGCCTCGTCATAAATACTGTGACAAAAGGAAAACCAGGCAAGGGTTCCACATATAACCTTATGTTCTTCAGTATTGTGGGTTGAGACCGACCAACGGACAGATCGGCAGGCAAAAAGCGCTTTTATATGGGGCTAGGCTTAGGGTTTCCCTCAAAGGCTGCTTTGTGGTTTCAAATTTGAGAATTTGGAGGTATAAGTTCTTGAAAAATTGCGTGGGGCCTCCCAGGCTGGGATTGAGGGCCAGGAACGTCAATTTTGGGGTCGTCTGCCCAAGAAGTGTGGGGGCTTCGGTGGAAGGGAAGACTGTAGAGAGTCGGTTCGGCCACAAACTCAGCGAGAGGTTCCACAAAATGCTGGCCAATTGGATCAGCTGTTTGCTCATTAGCAGGTTCAGGGGGAGGGCTTGCAACAAGAAGCATTCTCTCGGCATTCCTTTCCTGCATTCAAGTAGATATTTGGATGACAATGAACACCAAGATGCAAGGAAAGGCAAAACGTGATGGATATGAAACTTCAACTGGAAGAAGGAGGAAGAAACAAGCCCTTGTCGCAACGTTATCAGTCTGACATCCGATACCTTTGAGGTGATGTTGGTTTGTATTCGTACATATGGTGGGCATTATGGGGAATAGGACAGCCCGTAGACAGGACTCATGGTAGATCAGACCATCTTTTTTCTATTTTCAGCCTGCATTGAACTCGGAGGGACGTGCGGTAGGAAGCTTGGGAATTGATTGAGTTGGTCTTCGTTATAATTAGCAGAACTATGTATGCTGCATCGCAGCTCGCCTGTCTCTGTCTATTTTGCAAACTCACTCTATGGATGCGTCTCAAATACCAATCTGTAGATGTATCAATCAAGCCATCACCAGCCATATTCGAAGAAACATATTCTGGAGCACAAGCGAGAATTTACTGAGGACGATTTGAGAGTTGAATGGGTAGCAAAAGACAGTATGTATCATGTGTTTCAATGACTGGTTATGGACATACATTCCTTACACCTTCTATTCTGGAATTTTCTTTTTTGACTTGTTCCTGATAGACCTTGGAGGATCCGCCCCCCACGGGGGTTCCACGATTACCCTCGCTAAAAATGAACCGAGCATGTCTTGTTGCCGCCACTTTGCTTCCGTTTGTCTTCAGGGCCTTTCACATATTCTACTCATCATACCTCGCTGTTTCGTTTAAGTGAGAGGAGTAGGACTCCGAGCCTTACAATATGTTCTGGGCCACTGAACATCGCCTGTTCCGTGGATTCTAAAGACTCTTGATGCAACTAGGTCCTGTTGTCACCTTGAATTTCACTTGAGCATTTCCCTAGTCATACCCCAATCATTGTATTTATCCACACACTGACATCTTCTCTTATTCGACACCGAGCTTGAAAAACTCTCTTCCTCTGCTAAACTGCTCGTATTCTTTTCTCTCAACACAGGATACGGAAGAAAGAGAGAGTAGAAGGGTATGTATATACGTGGGAGATTTGCGTTTCTTCACGAAAAGGGGGTATTAAGATAAACGCGAAGAGGAGATTCTGCTGGGAGCCAGGACACGAGTTTATCGGATTCGTCTTTCATGTCAATGATGAACAAGGCTTGAGATGTTGAAAACAAGATTCCCACCGTGTCCAGGCCTGTAGAACCGGGCAATCTGCATAAGTGGCCGTACTAGCATAGCAGCAAGGCGAAATTGCAGATACCTCGGAGTAGATAGCAGCTGTATCAACTTCAGCAGCTGGATACGACGATGGTCAGACTTCTCTGCTTTGCATTTAAAACGTAGCACTTGATAGGTCACAGAACAATGTAGATAAATTGTAAGCTAGGTCGAGGTCGGGCCGCCGCTTTCCGGCCCCCAGTCTATAACCTCGGACTCGTTGAGTGTTTGAGGCTCCAGAGCCTCGGGGTAAGAGTGTCTGCTTTTGTGGGATTACTAGACTCGATTCTATCTCGCGAGGGATTTGGGTATCAAAGACGAAACGTCAAACTAAGCGACTGCCTAAAACTTTGTAGGATTCTAAAACGCCAAAAAAGCCAACAAAGAAAGAAGGTGAACACCAATATACAGCACCATCAACACTGGTCTGTATATTCAGACCGCTGATGTTGCGTTGCAACAGCTTTTCGTCAGTTGTTTCATTGTGTTTAGCGTGATTTTCCGCCGCCCGTCTAGCTCGCGGATGTGACCCCGAAAAGACAAAGAGCGTTTAACCTCTTCTATACATTCTTTATCTATTTCTGACCCTAATCTCGGTATTAGCCCCAAAATCTCAACTTTTGCTGGATATCAGCTTTCTGATATTTATTAGTTCCGAGTAATCTTTCGCATCATCGAGTTCGCGGGCGATAACACCAGTAAGCTCGCTACGACGATCCGCAACCACGAGATTTTCATGTATATTTTCGATTCCCTACCTATGCTCTTCGCCCCTTGTTATCTTCAATGTGATCCAACCCGGTAAGGTTTGTTGGACCGGAAGCCAACTGGCCGAAACTAAGCAAGCAGGAAAAGAAGGCCACCAAAGAAGCGAAGAAGGAGGCGAAGCAAATGTCCAAGGCAGGTTGCTTGACATCTCCCACGGTCTAGTTTGACGTCTTATGTTTCATTCTCAAGCGTTGAAGTGGCCTTTTATATGAATATGATGATCTATATAAAAATATAGAATGAATGGTCCGTACTACATTAGGCACTAATACTGATCACCTCCTACATGGTTAAATATTTAAATAAACTGCTCCCGGGTTTGGGGAGCTTATAACCATTCACTTTCTAGGCTAGTTGATTTCCACGGTTGTTTACTTCAAACCTCAATTTGGGGAAATCAATTCAGAATCTCGGTAGATCTGCGGGATCGGCGATCGTGCACGGACATCGGTGGACAAACCGTCGGAGAGAAGTCGGAGCCCCCCACTGGTCGTATCACTTCGCTATGTCTCTCGGGCTGTACCACACTGCACACAACGCCGGCCAGACCACCGTCGTACTAATTCATGGCGCCTTGGTATCTGGTCTCTACTGGGATCTGGTGATCCCCTACCTCACGTCTTACCATCTCCTGGTCCCAGATCTTCCAGGCCATGGCAAGTCCGCCAGCGCGCCGTTTTCAGTGGATCTCGCAGCGCAACAGATCGCCCAGCTGATCCGCACACACGCGAATGGCTCAGCACACATTGTCGGCCACAGTCTGGGTGCTCAGGTCGCTATCCGCCTAGCCTGCACCGAACCAGATGTGGTGAACTCTGTCTTCGTCTCGGGTTTTGGAATGTTCCCTCAAACGTCACTTACGCCATATATTCCATATGCAGCGTGGGTGATGCCACGTGTGGAGAACTGCCTTAGCCGGCCTCTTATCAGCTGGGCAATGGATGGTGCCGATATCCCACGTATTGATACCAATGTCTGTACCCTTGACCTGTGTCGCCAGATTGTATCACCGGAGGATCCTACACAGTGGCCATCACCTTGGCCTGCACGCACTCTGATTGTTGTAGCGGGGAAAGGGGGGTTAGTACCTACAAAGGATAGCCCGGGTGATGCTGTGAAGTTGATGGCGATCGGGAGAGAGCTGAATGAAGAGACTATCGCGTATACGCACTTGAAAATGCGACATCCGTGGAATCGTCAGGATCCGCGACTATTTGCAGAGACTGCCGCGGCGTGGTTTGAACATAAGGAGCTTCCCGAGGGCTTTGTCAAGCTTTAGCGTCGGGTAAACGGTAGACGGTGTTTGAAAATAGAAATTTGTCCCAGGACTTGTATCTATAAACTCCATATCAAGGAATAGAATAGTCCCAATTTAAATATATAACAGCTATAGTGCTGTCAAGCTTTGGAATAGTCGGCTTCTCAATCTGGTCGATACGGAGATTGTGGCAACGTCCGACCAAGAAGGTCGCGCTCTACAGACGCATAATCTTTGCGAAATCAGTATTTTGAACTCTCATGAGAGCTTCGGTGATCTGTATGATAACCCTTCTTTAGATACTTTGCACGCTTTTGGTGCTTTTGTATCTAGCATATCTTATCACAGTCGTTACACTGGGTTCGCTCCACGGCGCCGCCCGACATTTCACCATCTGCGCCGCGGCTCTGCAATTTTACTGCTCGGTATTCCTTTAACTGGTGGTGGTGGTCAGCCACGTGTGGGGGATCCGCTCTTCATCTTTCGGGGAACTCTTGGTGACAGCGTAGGGACTCACGGATATCGCACGTATTATACTTCTCGCCGAGTCAGACGAAACGAAGGTATCCTTGACTATCTTATCTTCCATTCTAGGAGTGAAAGTCCTCCTCCTGGTAGTTGAAGAGATCACCAAACAAAATGTCTTGAATACACCCTACAACAAATATCTGCCCGAGGCACTTAGCGGTATCATCAACCGCGTGTAGCAGGGCTTCTAACCTTGGAAGCTTCCAAGCTTTATCAGCCGCTCTTGAACCAAGGTTGCTTTGGATCCACCAAAACCATCATCAGTTCCATGGAATGACTGTATCAGCCCCACATCTGCGTGAGCCTTCGCTCGACGACACTTGGTCAACTCTACCCCCTCGAACAAGCATTCCATAAGCAACGTACAAACAACAGTATCCGTGGCCAGCCCCATTGTACAGTGGTACCACATTTTGGCCTTCGCCGAGATGATCAACAAGACACAGCGATAGTCTTGCCATTGCACAGCAGGATCTTCAGCATTTATCCAATCCGGCAGAGTATGACCCACAACAACCAATTAATGTTCGGGCTCTTATCCTATCGACCTTCGCTCACCAGCGCGTCCTGGTTTCCGATTCAGTCTGTGCAAAACCAGTACGGGCATCTATTTAGTCCCTGTCCACGATGAGGTAAAGCAATCTGCGAGATTAATATCTTGACTACGGTCGAGCAGGTTCATAGCAGGGACGAGAATGGACACGGCGTCTAGGACAGCTTCCTACAATCAATCGGCCAGCTGGCTGGAGCAAACCCCCGTGTCTAGAGCCTTCAAGTGACTTTCGCAAACTTTAGATGCATTGAAAGTGGCTACAAGCAAACACCCGACGTTGCTGCCATGGAAAAGCAAAGATCTTTGAAATTCGTGGAGAGTACCATGACTAGCTGACCCTTGGTTCCATTGGAAAATCCACCACGACAAGAGTAAGGCATTTACTGGCCCGCCCTCTGATCTATATGTCTGAGCTCTAGTACAACTATAGCTTTATAAGCAATCACACTGAGGCTATTTTATTTTTCTCCATCAAGTACTTGTCGATGATGTATGCACAGTCGAAAATGGACTGAGCTTTAGCTTTGGGACATTGCTTCCGCCACAATACCGTTGAGGGAGATTTCTTTCCTTCCCATACCGAACCCCATAGTGGGAGTTTACCATATGTTCATACGTTTCTCTTCCAGTTTGTAGGGCTGAGCCCCCATATCTGCTCAGCTTGGATGTTCATGGTTTGGCTGGAGTGAGGGTGTTGTTGATGGTCTAACAGATATCTGCCTCGCTCGATGGGCCAGAGTTCCATATGGAAGTGTGAAATATTGCAATCCGGAACTGAAATATGATGAGATCGAAAGCCAGCGAGGGATTGCTCATAGGGCTCACATTCGATGGATGGGAACACCAAAAAAGATCAATCAATCCAAGGGTAAATCAGAGACTGAACCTGGGGAACTGGCGATTTCAGATATCGAAATGTTTTCTATATACTGCGACAAGTGGAATGGTAAGAGGAGCAAATAGAAACCCTGGCGCAAATATAGAAGGAAGTTGGGTAAATGCTAGGAACGGGGGAGTTTATATATCAAAAATACGTTCAAAGAGACGTCCCTACACAATCTTGAACTTATTGAACCAGATCATTAGACTACATCATTGATATCTGCAGGTAGATTGGAAGGATGGAAGCTGTATGAACTTAGAAATTGAGATGGAATTGATAACACAGAAAGCAAATAGTCTACCAGAAATCACCGCAACAGCAAGAGCAGTGGGAACATATTCGTGGAGACGTGTCATATGTATTTAATTGTACCAGACAATAGTAACAACGACAAGTATGGCCCCCAGGGCTCAGAGCCGTCTAAACCCGCTAGTTGAAGACCAAATGTCCATTGTCGTTTCCAATGCGCTCCGACAGGTTGATATCCGCATCGTGGTCCTCTCCCTCGGCGTCGCGCAGGACAGCGCGCAGAATAGGGACATTATCGTCTCCCTCGAGATCGAAGCTGATATTGTCGGCACTGGACTGGAAGTCACCGCCTTCCCAGTGGAAGTGTCCTACAGAAATGAGTCAGCATAAATGATGTCAGGATGTTGATGCAGTGGTGCACTGCAAGAGTAACTAGAGTAGCCAGACTACAGACGTACCATTGTCATTGCCGATGTGTTCATTGAGATCAAGGGTGGACTCCTGCTCATCACCATCCTCGTTGCGAAGAAGAGCCTTGAGGATGTGTCCATCCTCAAGCTCGATGTGGGAAGCAGATGCGTGGAAGCTCATTTTGTCGATTTGAGAGAGAAGAATGCAAAGTAGAGTGTAAAGGGTTTCTATCATAAACTTCCTGGGTAGTAAAAGTAGACAGGAAAGGGAAGCTGCCTTATATACCCCATCTAGCCAGGCTAATACACCCCGAATCGCGATCTGGGCTGGGACAGGGAATCGTGCAGCAGCCCCCAGTTCTTGTCCGACACTTGTCCCCGACTAATTCGTCGTGCTGCATCTCCATTGTGCCATGACAGATAGCGCAGGTGGGGCATTAATTGGGAGGGTCGGTATTGGCAAAGCGGGGAGACTGTGCCCCAAATAGACAGTGATGGTTTACCAAGACAAAGAAAGCTAGCGAGTCGGTCTGTATAGGGTGGACAGCTATGGAGAGGTCATCACGGGACCCCCCACTATATCAGTACACGTCAGTGGGTGGATCGTACATCCGAAGCTGTTATCTTGGCTGGATGCCGGGCACGAAGGTATACAGATCACATCATCATGATATCCAGTTATCGTGGCGCATGGTGACACACTTTCCACAGTACCCAGCCACAGGATTCAGAGCGACATCGCCTGATGTCGCACTGCGCATGCATGCCAAGGATGCAAGACTCCGTGACAGCCCTAGGGTACAGCCACAGGGTTGTGGGCCACATATGGCCAATGGGTATCGGGCCGATCGAGGAGAAACGCTGTTGCCTAAGAGAGACAATGTAGTCCACTGGGGCTGATACGGTGCCAAGTCGGTTTGGGGACCTCGGGATGCAGCCTCATGTTGTCAGTTCTTGGCAATTGCGATATTGAGGGGTTTATTCACATTCAGTGGCGTTGAGGGGTCCTGTGGCTGGATAAGGCTAGCCTTGTGACTTGGAGGGGTTTTTTGTTTTGGAGGGGCTGCAAGTCCAAAGTGGAGTGAACAACACTTTGTGATGATTTCCAGTTCCGAGAGTTTTCCGACAGAGTCAAACTACAGTCATTATGATAATACAGATTCTAATGTACAATTGAACGAATTATAAGGCGAAGAGGCTTTGTATTGTTTATATGCAACACACATACAAGGCAGAGAAAACAAAGTGGAGAGCGAAGACAGAGTCAAGCATCATCAAGTTCATAGTATCGGCACACAACAGGAAAGAGAATCATCAAGCTCATAGTATCGGCACACAACAGGAAGACAGAGAGTCAAAGGAACCTTTTGAGTTAAAAAAAAGAAACATCCTCAGAAAATTCTTCACTGGACAACAGAGAGCTATCTCTGTAATAAAGGTTCCAAAAATTGGGGCGAAGGAGATGAGAGCAGAGCCCCTTCTCAGGTTGTTAACCCGCTCCTGGCGACGATCGGGAGTACCCAGACACGTACAGTCTGTTTCCGCAGAGGTCATAGCAAAAGCCCATCAAGCATCCGAAGATAGCTGGTCAGTAGCCCGCGTATACTTGCTTCGTGCCATTCACAGCCTAGCCTGGGCCGCCATCGAAATCCCGCCAGAGTCCTCAGGGTCCCCCGTTTCACTGGACAACAGTAGACATATGTTGAACATGAATCTCAAGCTGAACAACCGGTCAAAAAATTAAAGAATACTCAACAGGAACCACAGAGTGGACCCGGAGTGGTTGAAGAAGGAAGAAGAAAGAAGACAGAGAAATGGGAGGGGGCGGGTATTTATATTTACCTTCTGGCTGAGGGTGACGAGGGTAAGGGACGAGTTGACCAAAAGGGAAGGAGCCCAGTAAAGATTAAGTCAATGGGGGAGAGTGATGGCCGGAAATGGAAACTGCGACACACGAGAAGTTACCACGTCTTAGTGATATAGCTACAAAAAAATGAGAAGATGAATATGTATGCAATTGTTCTTGAGAATACCCTCAACCCCCAATATCAATCACGCCTAACACCAGTTGCAAACTCCCATGTCTTACAAGATCAACAGATGCACAGAATCGACAACCCATCCCACAGCATACCAGGTGTATCAACAGAAACACATTAGAATCATAACAAGTCACAGATTAAACTCCATTGCGGTAGATTTGAGATCCACCAGAGCGGATCTGGATGGTTTCACGTCGTTGCAAGACCACCAATGCACGGTTGAGTGCCTGTTCGCTGTAGTTCTTGCCATCAACAAAGTCGCGGCGCAGAGTTGCCAAGCTAGTGCTCCAACCAATGGGAAGACGACGCTTCAGCTCTTCTTCAATTTTGTTGGTCTGCTCCATAAGTTCCTTGCTGCCTTGGCCCTCACCCTGAGTGATGGCGTCCATAGTGGATGCCAGGAACAGACGGATGGCCTCGTCCACGTGGGCTTCTGTGGCGATGGGAGAGAGAGAAAGTTTGGCAAGGGACTCGGAGATACGGACAATGGCCTCGAGCTGACGGACAGTGATGGGGATGGATGATCGAGTGTTGGATTCCATCTCGGCACGGTGGACTTGCTTTCGGATAGAGACGAAGTGGGACGAAAGTTTTTCCGCTGCTTCAGGTGAGAGACGGGGCGCACAACGACTAGACGATATGTTAGTATGAATGTCATAGTTCAAGATGGGAAATGAGGGTCAACATACCTGCGGCAGTAGCTGATGTAGCGCTTCATCTGCTCAACGGGAATCTCAGCTTCCACCTGCTCCTCCACACCGCGACCACCCATATGCACACCCATGACGTGGCGGGCAATCCTCTCATCACGACCGCGCTCGTGTTCGTCGCGGACGACGAAAATCATATCGAAACGGGACAGGATAGTAGTTTGGAAATCGATGTTCTCGCCGGGGGTCTTGAGATCATCGTATCGACCGAATATAGGGTTGGCTGCGGCCAGTACAGACGTTCTCGAGTTAAGGATTGTCGTGATCCCGGCCTTGGCAATAGAGATGGTCTGCTGTTCCATAGCCTCGTGAATGGCCACTCGGTCCTCGTCACGCATCTTATCAAACTCATCAATACACACAACACCACCATCAGCAAGCACCATGGCACCACCTTCGAGATAGAACTCGCGAGTGTTGTGATCTCGCTGCACAGAGGCTGTCAAACCGGCGGCAGAGGAACCTTTTCCAGATGTGTAGATGGCAATGGGAGCAGCCTTTTCCACGAATTTCAAAAGCTGAGACTTGGCAGTACCGGGATCACCCAACATAAGCACGTTAATATCACCGCGAAGCTTCATTCCATCGGGAAGAATCTTCTTCGAGCCACCCATGAGCAGACACACGATGGATTTCTTAATATCCGCGTTTCCGTAGATCGACGGAGCAATGCTTCGAGCAAGCGCATCATACAAGTCAGGCCTCCGGCTGAGCTCCAGGAACTCTTGTTCTTCCTCCTCGGAGAAAATTGAGGCGCCTTTTGCTGTCTGATCGAGATCGGAGGTGATGCCCACTGCGCGAAGATATGGGTTACGGATAGCCACAGCAGCCTCCTTCTTGACACCCTTCGCTTGGTAGATAGAGAAGATTCCCATAACTGTGCAACGGGAGCCAGGAACAACTCGGTTGGCGAGGTAGCGATCGGCCGAAACAAGGACGTGTCGTGGCATCTCACCCACTGGCACCTGGTCAGGGGCTTCTTGAAGCTTAAGGACTTGCTGGTCTACAAATTGACATTTCTCATGGTAGACGACGTAAGGATCCAAGGGACATTGCTCGTTAGGTTGATCATTGTCGCTCTTGGGCCGACCACAGCGGCGCGGCAGCGATAGGCCGGAGAAGCCACCGTCGATCTGGATGTTCTCGCTGTGATCGCAGCCCTTGCAACGAACGTGAACGACTGTTGATTTGGAAGATATTGTTGAAGCTCCAATTACAATTCCGGGGATGCGAACGAGGTGGGAGATGTTAGTAGCATTGAGATCACGAATTGAGATATGGGATGCCGAGGAGTGTAGAAGCAGTTGGTGGGAGGGTAGTGTGATATCTCGCTGCCCGGGGTAGACAATCCGTACAGTACATTGCTTCAGGGCCAGCTCGAACTGTTTCGAGTTAGTGAGGGCCAAGATCAGCGGGATAAGAAACTTACAAGAGGGATTATCTCGCCAGGCTCGGTGGTGAGTTTGTGGGCTAGCTCCTCGTTGTAAGAAATGAGATGAGCAATGTCAATATCACAGTAGTATTGTTTCACAAGAGCATTTTGTCGTAATTGATCGCTGTTGCATCATATATTAGCCTCCATTGGATCCTGATGGCTGTGGGATGCATACCGGTAGACGAATGCATTATCCAGCTGAAATTCTAGCACGAAATCTCGAAGGCGGTTTTGAGTAGTTGTACGATCTTCATCGGCGCCATTTGTGCTGGGCGCAAGTACGCTCAAAGTATAGGGGGTGCGTCTATCCATGGTGTAAAGGACCGCAAATGTGGTAGGTTGGGGGTTTGATATTTGGCGGAAGGGAGGGCTTCAAGAACTTTTGGTTAGTGTGGCACTGACGCGACCCGCGGACGCGTCGAGAGTTCGCGCGTTAAGTGGTTTCTGACTCAGCTGTGGCCTGAGGCTTTCTGACTTTGGCCTAAGGCTGAACTGATCTGAGTCAGCACGGGGTATCGCCCGGGCGCCCGGCGTTAGCGCACTGGCCGATTGGGGAGCCATGACCAGCTTGATAGAAACAAAGCCACATCACAGGCGTTCTGACTCAAGAAGCTATTTCGGACCGAAATTTTGAATCGCAGAAGCTGGCTTGATCAGCATTGGACCCCGTACCTGAGCCTGCCAGAGCTCTACAGTCAGGAGTTTACCCACTGTCATGATCAGATAACACGGAACATCTCAACGATCGACCCTCCCCCGGTGGCTGTCCGATCCGGCTCGTGGCAGCCATGTCGTCAACCAGTCCACGAAAGTCAATTGATAGCTTAGCATCTGGGGTCTCGTCACCTTCAGTCTCTTATTCGACAAGTCAGCTTGAATCCCCGCGTGCGGCCCCTCAGAGGTTCCCCCTGAGGAGGGGATCAACCGCGAGCTCAATCGTGAGCATTGGAGGTGTCCTAGACTCTTCTCTCTATCATGGCTCAATCGCAGAGTCTGGGCAAAATGGTTTGTGACCTTGAGAATTCCCAATGGCTCGATGATTGACCTGTTAACACCCAATTAGCCATTTCGACCCTCCTCCACCCCCCAATCGTCCGCACCGGTCTGACGACTGCTAGTGCCACCGCATCCCCCGGATTCAAACCCCCATCTACTCGTGATATCCCGCCCGTTACTCTTACGAATATCAAACATGTGGATGCAAAGGTCTTCCAGCCATATCTATCGCAAGTGGGCACTTTGTACGATGTATTTCAACAAGCGAAAGAAGGCGCGGGGGAGGATGCCCAATCCGCACAGGCTGCCAAATCTCCCAAGCCAGATTCTGATCGCGATTCCTTGATGCCTTGGTCCCCCGAAAGGAGGTCTTCGGTCATGTCGATCGCTTCAAGATCATCTTCGCAATATGATACTCGCGGCCGACGCCCCTCGAATGCCCGTGGTCGTGCCCCCGCGGTGACTCCTCTGTCTACCATCCCTCCGGTTTACTTTGAAGAAGACTTCCATCTAGAAAACCCCCGTACATTTGATGTGATATCGGAGAAATCAGATGTGGTTCGGCCGCCGAGGCCGCCAAGCAAAGACGACAAACATGCCAATGGATTCGTTGCGGAACCAGTACAAAGTGGAAGAAAAGCACTAGCAACGAATGCTATTCTGCAAGAAAAGCTCTCGTGGTACATGGATACTGTGGAAATCCATCTTATTTCGTCTATCTCAACGGCATCGAAATCATTCTTCACTGCCCTAGGATCTCTCCGAGAATTGCACGCAGAAGCCGCCGATTCGGTCAACCGGATCCAAGTACTAAGAAGGGACCTGCAGAAAATTGATAAAGAAATGGCTCTGGGTGGGCTCAAGATTGTCAATTTGAGACGGCGAAGAGAGAATGTACGAATGTTGGCAGCTGCCGTGGCTCAGCTTCGCGATGTGGTCGAATCTGTCTCTCGTTGCGAAGGATTAGTAGAGCAGGGCGACATTGAGGAAGCTGCCGATGGACTTGAGGAAGTAGAAAAACTGATGGCCGGTGAACAGGTCTCCGACCGTGCTGCTTCAACTGATGAGGACGGTACCTCCAGACGCATTATCGACTTGCGGGGTATCAAGGCACTCGAGGGAGCATCGGATGATCTGGCACAGCTCCGCCAACGCATTGGCATGGGCTACGAGACCCGGTTCTTAAATGATCTTTTGGGGGATTTACGGCAGCATGTTCAAACTGTTCCGTCGAATGCAACCATGCAGCGCTGGGGAAACTCGTTCCAACGGCAGCGCGGTGGTCAACGGTCCGGAGTATCGGTATCCCCTGTCTACATGAATTTTGATAACGAGTTGCGATCCCAATTGAACACCCAGCTCAATGGACTCGCGCGTGCGCGTTATACGATGTCAGCGGCAACTTCTTTCAAAACCGCTGTTTTACGTGAAATGAAGGGCCTTATTCGCAAACACCTACCCAGTTCTAGTGATGATGATAATGAATCTATGGTGTCGCTATCAACGCATGGCGGTCATCAACTAAGCCAGCAGGAGAAATCATCAATCCTTGCTCGCAATTTGCGCGCTCTCGACCCAAATGATGCTTATGCGATGTTGATAAATATCTACACCGGAATTAGCGAATCGCTCAGGAGACTCAGCGTTCAAGTCAAAATTCTTCTAGATATTGCTAGCGGCTTGGGGAATTCGTCGGCTTCCGGTGTCAAATCACCACCATGGAGCCCCAACCCGCAAAGTATCGACCAAACCATCAAGTCCCCACAAACTGGTCCGACAGCCTCTGACATGGCTCAGGATGAGATCCTGCAGGTTTTGGATATGTCAAGTCTGCTTGGTCAAGCAGTTGACATCGCCCAATCCCAGATAACAAAGGTGTTGAAAGTTCGATCTGAGCAGACCGCCCAGCTTTCCAAGGAGGAATTCCTCGGGTACTTTACTCTCAATCGCCTGTTCGCTGATGAATGTGAGGCCATCTCGGGACGCAGTGGTACTGCTCTGAAGACCATAGTCGGAAATCAAATCCGCGATTTCATTGCCCGCTTCGGTGATGGCCAGCGCCATCAAATTGTCAATGTCATGGATGCCGATCGATGGGATGCACGCGATTTTGGAGATGCCGAGAACACCATTCTTACTAGGATTCTCGATGCAAGCACCAACGATATCGATGCGTGGGTCGAAGTTTCCAAGATCTGGATCCAACCTGCTGGCAACAAGCAAGGCAAGCTTACTGATACTGCCGCTGCAAATGGGATAGACAGGTCCAAGGTTCGCAGTGCTGTCATTGATGAGCAGAAATACATTCTGCCCGACTCTGCTGTCGCCATGATGCGCAGCATTGAGGAGTTTGAGTTCCTCATGTCGAATATCCCCAGCATGATCCAGGATATTGCGCCGCACTTACTAGATATCCTGAAACTGTTCAATTCGCGGTCATCGCAGTTGATTCTTGGGGCCGGCGCTACACGTAGTGCAGGCCTGAAGAACATCACAACTAAGCATCTTGCGCTGTCATCACAAGCATTGAGCTTTGTTATTGCTTTGGTCCCGTATGTACGGGAATTTGTCCGTCGCCACGGACAGGCGAACCCCTTGATGGCCGAGTTCGACAAAGTCAAGCGACTTTGCCAGGAGCATCAGAGCGGTATCCACGAAAAACTGGTGGATATCATGGGCTCGCGCTCTTCGGTCCACGTGAACGCGATGAAGAAGATCGACTGGAATACCAAGGGAACAAATCCTCCTGTAAATCCTTATATGGAAACCTTGGCCAAGGAGACAGGCACTCTCCATCGCGTATTAAGCAAGCATCTTCCAGACATGACAGTTAGCATGATCATGGTGCCCGTATTCAATACCTACCGCGATCAATGGACGAAGGCTTTCCAGGAGGCCGATGTCCAGACGGAGGCTGGAAAGAAAAGGCTAGTTTGAACTACTCGAATCCCTTGCATGGCTTACACTAACCGTATACAGAATGGAAACCGACGTCGAACATTTCCGATCCAAACTGAGCAAAATCGAAGGCGCTAGCGAGGTTGGCGACAAGCTCCTCGAAGTCGTGCGAGCCAAGACCATTTCTATTACTAGCGAACCCGGGAAGTCTGAGACAAATGAGAAGCAACACGATCAGGACAATGGCTCTGATTCCACCAAGTCTTAATTTGCATTCTCCTTGCCTGTTTACCTTTACACATATAATTATCTTTCTGCATGTTGCTTTCCTTGCCGGCATACTCATTTCCCCAGCTGTACACCTCTTGTCATTTACCGCTACTACATAACTGTCTACCTGCATTTATAGAGCTAGCCTGGCGTTTGTGGATATGAATAAGAACAGATGTGATTTTCATTCTACTACAAAGTATATTTTCAACCAATTACGCATTACTCACCGAATCTAAGATTACCTTATGTTCGTATACCTTCGCTCTCCATACTAACCCCAAGAACCGAACCGATGTTTGATTTCCATGAGATGAGAATATCGTGTATCATTCATAATATATGCAATCATCAAACACCAAAGAACTAATACTCATACAGAATAATTGCCATCCACACAAATCACATTAACATCATAGCTGGCATGGGCCAGCTTATTTCCCAGTAGGCTTCGCAGGACCACCATTGGGATGATCCGAGCCAGCGGTAGGCAAGCCAGGGTAGACGTCACGACTGGAGCCAGTCTGTTCAGGCATGGGGGCAGCCTTGTGGGAGCGGCTTAGGTCTGCGGGCTGTTTGATTGTGTTAGAAATTGTAACAGTGAATTCCATTGGATTGGAATTGGAGCGGAAACATACCTCCTTGCCTGTTCCGTGGGCCTTGTTGGGACCGTTTTCGATAGGGTTGTCGCTCTGGGGGACACCGTTGTCGTAATCTGCGCCGCGAACCATTTTGATAGATTTGTGGAAGAGGAGGGTAGTGGGATGTGGTTTTGTGTAGAATTGGTTTTTTGTTTTTTTGGAGTTGTGTAGGAATGAAACGAAGATGAATTAGTGCTTCTACTTATACTTGGTGATGATTGATTCATGTTGGTAGCCGTGACAGCATTCTGAAATCATAGTGGGGAGTATGACTTCATACACGTTTTAGTATCAAGGTCTTGGCCCAATTACCTTGGAACTGGGTCTAGAGATTTATACAGATCAAGAGAACACTTGGTAAATTCATTTATTGGACAATTCATGGATGATTGTAGTTTGTACAAAGTAGGGGAATACTTCATGTTGTGCGTTCATTGCATGGAATATAGAACCTGACCGAACCAATCGTTGTCGACTTTGGTCTTACACTCCCTCATTCTATAGTCTATTTTACATAGCCAAATGGACAATATTTATGACATCATTTAGAAACCTATGCTTTATCATACTAAGATGACCCTCAATGATCTTCAGCGTAGGAATAAGGTAGAATGATATTGATTCACTGCCCATACTAGGGTTATAACACCATCATCATGTGAATTGTTATGGTTTACTATTTCATTAGTATATCGCGCTATATAATGTTTCTCAGAGTAATGCACATCTATTTAACTCGATGTTTGGCCGAATGAATGTGTTATGGAAATAAGCCAGAGGTGGTAAAGGTGATCCTATTCCGATGATGAAGCTACCTAGGATGTGCCCCTCCTTGCTTAGTAATGACTTAGTAACCAGGCCTTGCCGTCACAGAATGAGAGGCAAAATTGTTGGCGAAAACCTTGATATATGTAAGCGAACGACCAAATTATGGATTTCTTCAAGCAGCAAGAGAAGCAGTGTCCGCCGTTTTCTTTAATCTCTTTTATGACTTTATATTTGATAACTATTGTAGGTCAAGATTAGGAATTGGTAAAGTCTGGCACATTTTTTCCTCGAATACATTATGTATACAGGTGACATCGTGCAATATATTCCATGGGTATATGCAGTAGAGATCCGAGGTATCTCCGAGAAATAATCTTTTGGATTTCTCAATAATTGTGTCTATGTATTGTTGATATAAAGCATGACAACGAGGTCTACAAGGAGTTACTGCTCTATTGGATTTTCCAGGGTTTTATACAGCCCAATGACGTCAGTTCCTTTGTCATTCACAGGTTGTCTGGCAGCACCATCCATGGATGGATGCAAGGAGGATAAGTGCGTACTCTTTGTAAAAACAAGGAAAGATATTGAAAAGCCCATGATCCTATGATTTTCGATACTCCTTCTGTTGGAAATTTCAACCATAACTCCAAGACGAGTCGACAAAAGATTGACACACAGACATGAGAAATAAACAGCAACCAACTTAGGAAACCATAACAAAAGAAAGCATCTGTTTCCAATAAAATTCCGCCAAATGAACGTAATAACATATTCCTTAACGGTATCTGCGGTGTTGCGCAGCCGATCCCGCAATTAGACACATTTCGAACCCACATAAATCACCCCTGCGATCAGGTTCAATATGCAAGGGGAAATCCTCTGCAGATCCAGCATAGAACGCCATGTGGCCTACAGGGCCAACCCAAGGAGAATCAGGTGAAGTGTCTGAGAAAGATTCTGAGATGCGACTCAACGGCCGAGGACCAACCAAAACTGGAAGAGAAATGATCCCAGATTGACGGGTTGTGCAGTGCCGGCACTGAGGGCCAGACCTGAGCGAGGCTGGCAAACTGTCACTGCCAGATGGGATTGATTCTCGGGGGCTAAGCGGGTATGGGAGCGGGGCATTTCCAAACTGCAGGCTGCGGCACCGATATGGATGACTGTAGAGAGGACGGTGTCGTCCTGCAAGACAGCTATTGCACATTGAAGTTGGTCGGTCAGGGTACTGTGGGAGATCCACAGGTGTTGCTGACGCAGAGGGAGAATGAGTGGTGGATGAAATGCCGGGTGGCTGAGAGTTGGGGTTTGCTGGCCCAGAAGAACGAGCGGATGAGGTTCTGGGTAGGTGTGATGTGGATGTTGAAGGAGGCAGGGGAGGTAATGGGCCATGTTGGATTTTACGGCGAAGACTGTATGATGGGCGTACTGGTGTTGTCACAACGTGGGATGTCTCTACTGGACTGGGCAGCAGGGCATCATTCTGCGTTTGGTTGAGGGCGACATTGCATGCTTTTCGAACTATGAATGTTCGTGGTACAACATTCAGGGAGATATGACGAGTACTTAGGATGGCATTTTGCTTGTTGTATGTATGGCGGAGGAGGACTTCTTCTGTAGTGATCTTTGGGGGATTGGCCCTCGTGATGGTGGTGGATAGTGACATATCCGATGAGGGCATATGTTGAATCACTGGGTCATCACATTTGGAGGCGTGTGCACATGAGCAGATACCGTCCTCGAAAAGAACTGGTGAGCTGGAATCCCGAAGAGCTGAGGTGACGAGGCAGCATAATGTTGGATCAGGTTGATGGATGAAACACAAATCAGGGATTTGAGGAGCCAGTTCTTCAATCACTGGGAGATTGTCCATCCCATCATTGGGCCTGACTGAAGAAGAACGTGAATTCCCGAGTTGCTGTTCTTCACCACTTAACTCAGCAGGTAAGTCTGGGCTTGCGATTGCGGAAAGCTCGTACACATTGCTATCAACCTCAAATACAGAAATCCGGTCTGACCCCTCAGACTTCTCTTCACCACTACTCAATTCATAAAAGTCCGGATTCATGATTCTCAGCACAGAATTCTCATCCCCTCTCCAGCTTCCACGGGGATCATTAGGAGACTTAGACTGAGCGGTAGCATCAGCGATCTCGACTTTGTTAACTAGAGGGCCGTTGGCCACATCTACATCAAGTCTAGAAGATTTGTCTCGTGGAGACGCTGATTTTGTGGACATAGGAACCAGATTTACCAGAGATTGGTTAGACTCAGTGCTGAATATGGACATCCTCCTTGGGGTCGATCCCTTGAGATCACTGCGATCCCGAAAAGCGCGGCTCGGATATCGATCAGTCAGGGCTCCAGAAACGATCCGATGGAGCTCATAGTCCGGGATACTTCGACGTCTCGTGCGCTCGATCTTGCTGACCAACTTGATCCTCACCTTCCCAAGAGGAGTGAAAACCCAGCTTCTCACCCAACGCTTGACCTTCGCCCGCTTGCGTGCCTTCTTTTTCTCCGACATACCTAATGCAACGGGTGATCGAAGCTCAGATCCCAGTGTGATCAGAAGAGAGGGGAGCTCGAGCGCAGGATGCTGCAGAGGATCTGTTTCGTCAGGTCTCATTTCGCGCAGCTTATTTTATATATTTCTGGTCTGCTATACTGGTATCTCCGAGATTCGACATCAATGACTCTTTCACTTGATCCATTTCGAACAAGTGACATGACATTATCAACATGTATTAGGCAGAGCTCAGTCTCATTTACAATGAGGATGGGAGCAAACATGGATTTGAGACCTTGAAGTTCTTTGTTCATGATTTTGTTAATGATGAGCTCTTTGTTTCCCCAAGTGTCTCTACCTTGATGAGTCAACTGCTGTGGTACTACCCATGTAGTTAGGCCGACATAGGGTAAAGGAGAAGTGGTTTCATTAAGCTGGAGTCCCTGGTGGAATCTACATTTTGGATATAGGTGTATAGTACTGGATAGAGCCGAAGCAGCCTACCTGGGCAGGTGGAAGCATGCTTTAGGTCATGTGTTTCCGAATTTCGGAGATATTTCCCTCTTACTAGGAAGAGGGCGACCTGGTACAAACAAGAGACACAGTGTTGTACCAAAAAAAGTAGTTTGCATCTACAACGTTGTACGGTATAGGCATATTTCAACACCGATGAGGAAGTTGGACTGCCAAGGCGATCATCCCCTCCAACATGGTCCGCGCGTTTTTCCCGCCAATAAATGCCGTTGATTGAAGCCATTCTAAGCCATTTGTAACCATTCATACCCATATTCGTGGCCATATGTAGCGATGATCAAGCTCTTGCGGGGCCTCCGACGTTCAGTGGAGTAGACTGGTAAGATGACATCATGGCATTCAGCTTTCCCCAGATCCGACATTAAACTGCAATTGGATTGGCCCTAAGCTCTGTAGGCTTGCATTGATGGCAAATAAATGAGGATCAGCTGTTCAATAATCGGAAAAAACGGAGAAATTAGACTGTAAGGGAGAGGATATCGCGGAAGACAGAGGAGAGTCAGAGAACCATGGACAGATCAGGACACAACGGGTGATCCCACCTATTGGTACTATTACCACTGGTTCCACTGATACTACAGTTACATACAAAGTACCAGGTACATCATACCATAAATCCAAGACAATTGCCATAAAGAAATGAAATCTCTTCAGACATATATGCACTAAAGGTACCTATTCTCAACAGTCTCGGGTGGAATTTCCCTGGCAGAGACTTTTTTTTAGCCTAAGCGCACGGTAAAAACCCCCTCGGTCACACCCGTAAATCAGTCCGGAGAAAAACTCTTGACACACCGGGATAAGGAACGGGAAAGTCTTGTATTCTCTGAAATATCTATTTGACCTCGACTTCACATATACGATCGACATTCTCCCCCCAACTTCTCCCCCAGCCACCCCAGAAGCTCAAGTCGAGGTCCACTTTCTCCCCGCACAGACCGAGTTGGACAGCTATTCCAAGGTTGTTGCGCTCAACCCCCCCCCTCTCTCCTCGCTTTTCATTTCTCTTCCGCTTTTGTGCGAAATTCCTTTCAGTACAATGGAGGAAAACGGCGAACCCATCAAGCGTGATGTGCGCAACCACATGCTCTTCGAGGTGGCCACTGAAGTGGCTAACCGAGTAGGCGGAATCTACTCGGTCCTCAAGTCCAAAGCTCCTGTGACCACCGCTGAATATGGCGAGCGGTACACCCTGATCGGCCCACTCAACAGGGCTTCAGCTGCAGTGGAGGTTGAGGAGCTAACGCCGACCAACCCGGCCATGCGGGAGACGATCAAGTCTATGAAGGAGCGCGGGATTGATATGATTTACGGTCGCTGGCTCATTGAGGGTGCTCCTCGGGTTCTGCTCATTGACACGGGTACTGGCTATAAGTGGTTGGACGAGTGGAAGGGCGATCTTTGGACCACTTCAGCCATTCCGTCCCCCGCTGGTGACAATGAGACCAATGAGGCCATCGTTTTTGGATACTTGGTTGCTTGGTTCTTGGGAGAGGTACGTTCCAACAATTGTTCTCCAAGTTGGAAATGGTAAAAAAGCAAATGGCTGACTATATTCTTACTGTAGTACATTGCTCACGACCGTCGCCGGGCGGTCATCGCCCATTTCCACGAATGGCTGGCCGGTGTCGCTCTGCCGCTGACCAAAAAGCGCCACATGGACCTTACGACTGTCTTCACCACCCACGCGACATTATTGGGTCGTTACCTCTGTGCTGGCTCGGTTGACTTTTATAATAACCTCCAGTACTTTGACGTGGATGCGGAGGCCGGTAAGCGAGGAATCTACCACCGTTACTGTATTGAGCGGGCTGCCACTCATGCCTGTGATGTCTTTACGACTGTATCGCACATCACTGCATTTGAGAGTGAGCACCTGCTGAAGCGCAAACCCGATGGTGTGCTGCCCAATGGTCTGAATGTTAAGAAGTTCTCTGCCATGCACGAGTTCCAGAACTTGCACTCCCAGGCCAAGGAGAAGATCAACGATTTCGTTCGTGGGCATTTCTACGGCCACAACGACTTTGATCTGGATAATACTCTATATCTCTTCACTGCGGGTCGTTACGAATACCGTAATAAGGGTGTCGATATGTTCATTGAGGGGCTGGCCCGCCTCAATCATCGACTAAAGACCGCTGGGTCGAAAATGACTGTGGTCGCTTTCATCATTATGCCAGCACAGACCTCTTCATTGACAGTGGAAGCGCTCAAGGGCCAGGCCGTCGTCAAGTCTTTGCGCGATACCATTGAGAACATCGAGAAGGGTATCGGCAAGCGCATGTATGAGCGCTGTCTTTCCTGGAAGGAAGGTGACAACATGCCTGACGAGAAGGATCTCATCACCAGTCAAGATCGCGTGATGCTCCGCCGTCGCCTGTTCGGTATGAAGCGTCATGGTCTTCCCCCAATTGTCACTCACAACATGCACAATGACAGTGAGGACCCCATCCTGAACCAGCTGCGTCGTGTCCAGCTGTTCAACCACTCCTCCGATCGGGTCAAGGTTATCTTCCACCCGGAATTCCTCAACTCTGCCAACCCTGTATTGCCGCTTGACTACGACGACTTCGTTCGTGGAACCCATCTGGGTGTCTTCCCCTCCTACTATGAGCCATGGGGATATACTCCGGCCGAATGTACAGTGATGGGCGTGCCTAGCATCACCACCAACCTGTCTGGATTCGGTTGCTATATGGAGGAATTGATTGAAAACTCCTCTGATTACGGAATCTACATCGTGGATCGTCGCGCCAAGGGAGTTGACGACTCGGTCAACCAATTGACCGATTTTATGTTCAACTTCACAGAGAAGAGTCGTCGTCAGCGTATTAACCAGCGTAACCGCACGGAGCGTCTGAGCGATCTGCTCGACTGGAAAAGAATGGGCTTGGAATATGTCAAGGCTCGCCAGCTGGCATTGAGAAGAGGTATGTTGCAATTTGATTGTTTTCTAGGTGATTGTGGCTAATTCTTTGCTGTGTAGCTTACCCATCCTCGTTCGAGGGCCAAGAAGATTACTTCGATATCATTGGAGGAACTGAGCAGAAGCTCTCCCGCCCGCTTTCTGTTCCTGGATCCCCTCGGGATCGTTCCGGAATGATGACCCCCGGTGACTTTGCCTCTCTCCAGGAAGGCCACGAGGGATTGAGCACCGAGGATTATATTGCCTGGAAGCTGCCGTGAGTTCCTGTCTTACCAATTGGTTCTTGTCAAATACTAATACATTCTACAGTGAAGAGGAAGAGCCCGAAGAGCACTTCCCCCTCACCCTGCGAACTCGCAAGATGACCGAGCGGGCTGCATCTGAACTGGACAGTATATCGGTTCACAGCCGCCGAACCAGTGTAGACTCCGAAACTGGATCTCGGACATAATAACCGAGAGCATTGAGAGGGTATTGGAACCCTTTTTGTTCTCTCTCATCTTCACAATTGGCCCCGTATTGGAGTGGGCACTCCCACCAATTGACGTCATGTGTACTTGTTTAACCACTTCCGAGCTGTGCCGTTTTTATGATCATTTTTCTAGTGCATTTGAAGCCTATGTTCGTTTTTAATTATATATGAAATCGAAACTTCTACTTAGGTTTCGAAAGAATATTCCTAATGTTGTAAATCCCTAGCTCTACTCCGTACGGAGGGATGACCTCCGAACTTACCAAGTATATCCACTTGCCCACCTCACTTCGGAGGTACATCGGAGCTTCAGGCATATAAAGTTCAATTTACGGTGAGACCTTTAGCGAATAATGATTCATTATACTTGTCTGTGTGCTTGAACCCTGGAGTATTTCTACCCCTCCTACCCCTCCATCTTCTTTCCTTCTTCCACTCAACTCCAACATCTCAACTCAACGTCTACCATCGGTACGACTCTCCAATGGGGCCGCGCACGTCCAGTACCCTGCGGGGTTGTAGGACTCAGTCCTCGCTACGATGAAGAGATGGATCAAGGTATTTGTTCGTATAACAGTCGTTGCCCACGCATGACAGGTGTTCGGTCCAGCCAGTTGATTTTGGGGAGAACTATAAACCTATCCAAGTTTTCCTGGAGTCTTGGTTTCTTTTTTCCACATCAACTGGCTGGCTGATCTGAGATTATACTGTCAAAACTTGATCTAGACAATACTAGCGAAAGGACATGCGTGACTTTGATTGTTCCCCTGTTTGTGTTTTGTGTCCGGCTCTGCTCATTGCTGTGCTGTTGACCGTTCAATTGAACACATAGATTGAATGGAGACTGCACAAGCGGAGCAGAAGCTGGATACCTTCTCTCTTGGCATGCTGACCCAATTGAAGTATTGAAATAGCTTGATCTATCTGTCATCATGTCTACTGACAAGATTACTTTCCTGACAAACTGGTATGCTGACATCGTCCTAGAATTCGAGTTTACAAGCTCTCCTATGTCTCGATCTTGTAGTTCCATTTGGCTAAGTTTTTTTTGTTTTTCAAGGCACGCCACCCCGTATCACGCCCCCCTTTACCTCGCTCAGGCTAGAGGCTACTTCAAGGATGAAGGTCTCAAGGTCGCTCTCCTCGAGCCCAATGACCCCTCCGATGTTACCGAGATCGTCGGCAGCGGCAAGGTCGACATGGGTTTCAAGGCCATGATCCACACCCTGGCGGTACGTATGCTGTCTCCAGACACAAGAATCATTTCAACCATACTGATACCACATGCAGGCCAAGGCCCGTGACTTCCCTGTCACCTCCATCGGCTCCCTCCTCGACGAGCCCTTCACCGGAGTCGTGTACCTGAATACCAGCGGGATCACCACCGACTTCCGCTCGCTGAAAGGCAAGCGTATCGGCTACGTTGGCGAGTTCGGCAAGGTATGAATATCCCCCTCCCAATTCCAATGAGCAAGCCCTAACCCAATTCAAGATCCAAATCGACGAGCTCACCAAGTACTACGGCATGACCACCGACGACTACACTGCCGTTCGATGCGGAATGAACATTACCAAGGCCATCATCCAAGGCACCATTGATGCCGGTATCGGTCTCGAGAACGTTCAGATGGTCGAGCTTGAGGAATGGCTCGCCGATCAAAACCGCCCCCGCAGCGACGTGCAGATGCTCCGCATCGACCAGCTCGCCGAGCTGGGCTGCTGCTGCTTCTGCTCTATCCTGTACATCGCGAACGACGCCTTCATCGCCGCTAACCCGGAGAAGATTGCTGCGTTCATGCGCGCTGTGAAGCGCGCCACGGACGATGTCCTTGCTGACCCTGCTGGCGCATATGCAGAGTACATTGACGTCAAGCCTATTATGGGCACTGATGTTAACCGCAAGATATTTGAGCGGTCGTTTGCTTACTTCTCGCGTGACTTGAAGAATGTTCAGCGTGACTGGACTAAGGTTACCAACTATGGAAAGAGATTGGGGATCTTGGATGCCAATTTCGTCCCGAACTACACCAACGAGTTCCTTTCTTGGGGTCTTGACGCCGATTCTGTTGATCCTATTGGTGATCAGAAGCGCATGGCTGCTTTGCAGCAGGAGGTTGCTGCTGAGGGTGGTTACAAGCGTCTTGGTGTTCAGGTTTCGGCTTAGATTGGGCTGTTACTCCCGGATGAAACTGCTTGGAGATATTTTTCCTAGGCTTCACTCTTTAGCCTCGGCTGCTTGAGTCAAATTGGAACACTTGCCATATTAGTATCAACTGTGCTGTAAAAGGTTACAGTAGAAATCTGCGTAGTTATTCTCCGGTACTCTGAGCGTGGTGTATAACAACGTTGGAAGAATAGTTGGCAGCTTATGCGGCAATTTCCCCGGGCAGGATGGAATACCCGACAGTGTACTCCGTACCAGTGGACCTTAATAGTCTACAGACCAACATTTCCAGCACGAGCTATTGCAAATAAAATCATATTGATAAAAAAATATTGTGTGCATGGTTTGATGGTTATTGTAAGAATGGTCTGTTTCCAAGGTCGTTAATATCAAAGTCATTATCATGTCTCATAACAGGATACCGTGTTACAGGTCCTAGTGGCCGTTAAGGTATAGTTGGGGGTGTATCCTCATTCCCTGAACGATCGAGCATAGCTCTTAGCCGATCCTCCGCGGACTGCAAAGCAGGGCTAGATTCTGGTCCAGCGATACTCGCCGTCCACTTTAGCCAGCCAAGGAGAGATTGAATGATTTCCGGACCCGCGCTTCCTGTAGTAGGCGAACTATCGGTGCCTAGAGTAGGCGGCGGGAGAGTGTTGAATTCGGCGGAGGACCCATCGTTTGCAATCGCCTCTAGATGAACCTCGGACACCACAGCGGGAGTGGCCATCTGAGATAACTGCTGTTCACCACTGCCAGTAGCAGCATTCTTTGCAAGTAGATCACATCCACTATGCTTGGGCCTTGATGCAAATTCGCGCGTGAAAGGGATCGGGGATATAGGAGTCTCCGGGCCAATAGCCAACACAGGTTCGATCTCGGAGTTTTTGCCAAGAGAGCGCGGAGAATGAGACTGCCCCTGAGTTGTTTGGCTGGGTGTACTATTTTGTTCCAGCATAGACGCAGTCTGCCGCAGATTTTCTAGATACCGATGGAACGAGAATGGATAGATATCACGAGTTGGATCAATCGGACTAGTCTCATCGTCAAGAATGACCGCATTGCTGTCATCCGCATGCCGTTGCTCACTGGGCCTGGCCTCCTCGACTGGTTCAAGCGCACCCGACGGAGCACATATCTCACCCAAAGGTGCGATGTGGCTCGCATACTCGTTCGAAAGACTCAGCTTGCTCCTCCCACAGATCTCAGCAATGGAGTCCAGAGTTCCACGGATATCAGGCTCAATGGCCTGCAGTATACTCTCGATACTGAAATCCTCATCAGACGGAAATATGACATCAGACTGGGACGGGCGAGATGAAGCCGAGATCCTCAAGCCGGAGAATGGGAAGAACCGACGCGTAGACATAGCAGGCGGTCGTGTAGTTCTCTGCTGGGCATCGCCCGAATATTCCCTGACGAGCACAGGGCGCGTAGCGAGTGTCGATGAGCGCCGCGCAGAGGAATTATCAACTCGGACAGGACGGGGCGTATGCCTCGGGGAACCGTTCAGCTGGCGCAGAGCGGTGGCACGATATGCAGCGGCTGGATCTTCGGCAAAGGACTCGTATCGCTGGTGTGTTTGGTGTGAGGGGCCAGCAGTAGGAGACGCATGGGATGGGGACAGTAGTCGGGGCCATCCTTGTTGAGGCAGGGAAGAGGGCAATGGCCGTGTACCGGGCAATGTATCCGACTCCATCTCTGTACTGGTTGCGGTAGCGCACAGCTACGTTGCTGTAATGCAGGAGACAGCGCAGAGACTGACCCCGCTCCGGGATGGCACAGGTCTCTGAGAGGATCGGGTTCGGCTCACGAGGGATTTAGCCACGTCGCATGCGCAACGCATACTCTCCCGCATGCGTTGAGATGTTTTATCTGGGTGGATGTAAATCATCCGAACGGGTAGTGGGGAGATCGAGGGGTGGGTTGCCCTGATACTCATGCACTGAAGCTGTCAATGTTCACGGGTGGTCTAGGTACCTTGTATTGAAATTAGAAGTAGATAACTTAGCAGAGGAGGCCTTAGAGATCTGTCCTGCAAAGGCCAAAATAAAAGAAATGGAATGGCTCTGGGAGTCAAATACAGGACCGTTTGATGCCTTAACTGGCAAAGAGCTAATGCCGAATATCCCAAGCTTGGCGTTCTTACTTAGCACCGAGGCATATGCCACCACGTTTCCCCGTTCCCTTATCTTCTGTCCACATTTTCCCCAGACACCATGAATCGGTTTCAAGTATGAATCCATGCGAATCGCATTGGTACCTCGTCTAACCTCCTATAGTTCGGCGACTCCGACGGGTCTGTTTCCGACTTCGATGAAGATCCATCTGGCCTCCCCTTCCCGGAACCGCTATCCCGCACCTCATTCCTCGCCCCTGACTTCGATCCAGCCACTTTCCTGTCCTCATTGACGAACCGACATCAGAGTCTTGAGGATCTCCGGCAGGAATTGCGGGGGCTAGAGCAATTCTTGAACAAGGAGCTGTTGGATCTTGTCAACGAGAACTACCAGGACTTTCTCTCATTAGGTGGCGCGCTTCGCGGTGGAGAGGAGAAAGTCGAAGGTGTGAAAGTTGGCGTACTTTCTTTCCAGCGCGATGTCAAAGCTATCCGGGACAAGCTCGAGGCGCGACGTCAGGAAGTGGAAGAGCTGTTGAACGAGAAGCGGCGGTTACGAACGAACGCCGACATTGGCAAAGATCTGTTGGACTATGCGGATCGGGTGGAGGAATTGGAACACCGCTTGATGATCGAGGACAAGTCATTGCAAGAAGGTGCCACACAGGACGAATCCGATGCAGAGTCCGATCTATACAGCGGCGAAGGCGATGACAGCGGTGATGACGAGCTATCGGATGGCACACCCGCAGTTTCATTGAAGAGGATGGAACGCCATGCCCAGAAGTTTGTCTATCTGACATCCATAGCTGTCCGAGTCGGAGAGAAGCATCCTTTCCTGCTTGCGCAACAACCACGAGTCGCAAAGATCAAGTCCACAATACTCCTCGATCTCAAAACTGCGCTGGAGCAGGCCACTGCGGCAGGCGGTAAACAGGGCAAAAGTGACGCTAGGACAATGGCAATTCTACGACTCTACGATCTTATGGGTGAGGATGTCAGTGCTGTCGCCGCACTGAAGAACCTCAAGCTGTAAAAACAATGTGCTTCGGCCTAGAAATTGGCAATGTGCACTGGTTTGCATACATAGCGTCGGCGTTTGGTCTTATAAAGTTCTAATTCAACAATGATACCATGATACACCGTGTCCTTTCCTAATAAAACAATAAATTTGTACACGCCAAAGGATATAAGAAAATTGAGTATGTTACATGCCGGTCAAGGCGGAGGTTGGGGGGAGGATTCGGAGCGGAACTCGCCGTTGAGTGAGAATCCGGGGCCGTTCGTCGAGCTCAGTACCTGATCGGGTTGTTAGAGGCTGGGTCCACAAAAAGAACAATATCAAAGTACTCACCACCTCGTAGACCTCCTTGTTAACACGGTCGGTCAGCGCGGAGGCATCCCTCTTAATCTGGTCAAGGGTCACGCGCATGTTGTCGCGCAATTGCTCTGGAGAGAAAGCCAGTTGACCGACAGGCAGACGGATAACGGCATCACGCTCACGGTACACAGTACCACCACGGAGCATTTCCACTCGTGCAGCCACGTCTTCCACAACGGTACCAGTCTTCGCACTGGGCATCAAACCGCGAGGCCCGAGGATACGACCCAGTGCGGCCTTGTTCAGCGCCGGCAAACTGTCCGGGTGGGCGAGACAGCGATCGAACTCAATAGTGCCTGCCTTAACAGCGTCGAACACTTCTTGTTCACCGACAAGAACGGCACCTGCAGCAAGCGCTTCTTTGGCTGCTTTCGAACCGGGGGGACAGATGACACAAATGCGGGATTCGGTCTGGACGGCGTGCGGGAATCGGAGCATGTTACGGATAACGGGACCGTCGCGCTTTGTCCGCAGTCGGATGTGCAGTTCGTATTTTTGAACGGTGGGTTCGCGACCGACTTCGATGGCTCGGATATATCTGCGGAAACGACGGTGTCAATTCCCATTGACCGACGCCTCAGTGTCAGATGCTCAGTACATACCGCATAGCATCACACAGAGAATACTGCGGCATATCCTTCAAATTGATTTGCCGGAACTCCTGGGGTCCTTTGCGGCTCTTGGTAGGCTGCTCTTTCCCCTTCTTTGGCTTGTTCTTGATACCTCGGACCTGCTGGAAAGTCGAGAGAATGGGGGCAATTGAGGTATCCCGCAGCGGATTCCGACATGCTGAGAGGATTCCGCGTGCCGCTGTGGGCAATACCGAGCCGTAGGACGACATGTTGGCAGGCGTTGATTTGAGCTGATCGACTGGGTGAAGCCGTGGAGCAATTGTTTTCTGCCGGAAAGCTGTCGGACTCGGAGAAACGTGGATCCGAACAGACTGTAGATAATGACTCTTACCCCTCCAGAAATTCACTTTGCTTTCCACCCTACGCAATGTCTCAATACGAATTGAAAGTGGCCACTCGTGGCAACCACGCGGCGCTTTTGCCCGTGGTCCTCATCGTCACCTCTATTAACGAGGCCCGTCCCACCCCCGTGATTACTATCACCCTCGAGGACACTGCTCTTCTCCAGGATGGCGACAAGGCCATTGTGCAGCTCACCAGTGGCACCAACTCTGTCTTTGGCACTGCCAATGTTATCCAGGAGCTTACTGTGCACTTCCCTTTCCTGGCTGGCAAGGATACCAAGGTGGTGAGTTACTAACACATTCTACCCCGCGGTCGAGTCATTTTTTGAATCCCGAAATGTCCCTAACACGATCGCAATAGGAGTCCGAATGGATCTCTCAGTTGGATTCCTTGACCACCCTGGACTTCAAGGCCCTCGACCCCGTGCTCCAACGCCTTGATGTTCACCTCCTTATGCGCTCGTTCATTGTCGGATACTCTCTGTCTACTCCCGACATTGCCATCTGGGGTGCTCTCCGCGGCAACCGTGTCGCCGTTGCAGCCCTGAAGAAGGGTTCGTTGGTGAACCTTACCCGCTGGTATCGGTTCTTGGAGGAGCTTTGCCCCTGGACTACCGCCGCTGTGGAATCCATGAACGCAGTTGCCAAGGAGAAGAAGGTGGCCAAGTCCAAGGAAGGTGCCAGTTACGACATTGCTCTCAAGAACACCGAGAACGGTGTCGTCACCCGATTCCCCCCTGAGCCTTCTGGATACCTCCACATTGGTCACGCCAAGGCCGCTCTTCTCAACGACTACTTTGCGCATGAGAAGTACAACGGTACTATGCTTCTTAGATTCGACGATACCAACCCTTCGAACGAGAAGCAAGAGTTCGAGGATGCCATCGTGGAGGACCTTGCACTTATGGGCGTCAAGCCCAACAAGATGACCTATACCAGTGACTACTTCGATGAGCTGTACGATTACTGCATCAAGATCATCAAACAGGGCGATGCCTACGCGGATGATACCGATAAGGAGACCATGGCCGCTCAGAGATGGGACGGCTTGCCCAGTCAGCGTCGCGACTTGTCTCCCGAGGAGAGCTTGTCTCGCCTAGAGGAGATGAAGAACGCCACCCCCGAGGGCCTTCGTTGGTGCATCCGTGCTAAGATCTCCTTCGACTGCCCTAACAAGGCTATGCGTGATCCTGTCATTTACCGCTGCAACCCAGCACCCCACCACCGCACCGGCACTAAGTGGAAGATCTACCCCACTTATGACTTTGCTTGTCCTATCGTTGACTCGATGGAGGGTGTCACCCACGCTCTGCGTACTATTGAGTACCGCGACCGTAACCCCCAGTACCAGTGGATGCTGGATACTATGAAGCTGCGCAACGTGCAGGTGTGGGATTTCGCCCGCATGAACTTCGTCCGCACTCTACTCTCTAAGCGTAAGCTGACCAAGCTGGTTGAGACTGGTCTGGTTTGGGGCTGGGATGATCCTCGCTTCCCCACCATCCGTGGTATCCGTCGCCGCGGTATGACTATCCCTGCTCTCCGTGAGTTCATCCTTAAGCAGGGTCCCTCCAAGGCTGTGACCAACTTCGACTGGGGCCTTATCTGGGCTACCAACAAGAAGTATATTGATCCCATTGCTCCCCGCCACACTACTATCTTCAACAAGAACGTTGTGAAGACTACTGTCATTGGTGGCCCTACCGCTCCTTACTCCGAGGAAAAGCCTAGGCACATCAAGAACGCGGACGTCGGCATGAAGAAGGTTGTTTACAGCAGCTCTATCATCCTCGAGCAGGAGGATGTGAAGCTCTTCAAGCCTGACGAGGAGATCACTCTTATGAACTGGGGTAATGCTATCGTCCGTAAGATCAGCACTCACACTGAGACCGGTATCATCACCGATCTCGAGCTCGAGCTGCACATGGCTGGTGATGTCAAGAAGACCGAGAAGAAGGTCACTTGGCTTGCCACCGAGGGACAGGACCTCGTTCCCGTCGAGTTGGTCGATTTCGACCACCTGCTGACCAAGGATTCTCTCGGTGAGGATGATGTCCTGGAGGACTGCCTCAACATGCACACCGAGTTCCGCGAGGAGGGTCTGGCCGACTGCAACGTCGCTGATCTTAAGGAGAGCGATATCATTCAGTTTGACCGCAAGGGCTACTACCGCGTTGATCGTGCTTACTCTCCTGGTAAGCCTGCAGTGTTCTTCAACATTCC